GTATAGACAACCCTGAGGAGGCAAGACTGCCTGGATATAAATTTAAAATGATAGAAAGTGATCTGGTGGATTAGATTAAATATTTTTAATCTATGAAACTACTCTACTGTCATATTGACCACAAGCAAGTTTGAAAGGAATCTGGCCCTTACTTTCTACTGGGTGCAATCTAGAATAGAATGGTTTACTGGAGATTATATATAATTGTTTTGACAAAGAGCCTTTAAGCATTCTCCATTAATTTAACTGTAACTGTAACTTTAACTGTAATGATTAACTGAACTACATTACATTCTCACAAGGATGTTATGACCCATGAGGTGCTATGTATCAATATAGCTTAAAGTCTGTATGGAAGAATGTGGAATTGCACAAATACAAATAATCTAAAAGTCTGTATATCGGTTTTCAATATAACTTGTCATGTATTTTTATTTTCTAAGAGCAATTTGGTTCAAGGAAAGAGCAGATTCAGTACCGTTATTATCAGACATTCCCTGATAATAAGCCCTCACCCTAAAATAAGCCCTCCTCCAAAAATAAACCCTCCCCAAAAATATTTAAATGCATGCACAGCCAGCCCCTGCCATTTCCTCTGGTTAGAGTTAGGGAGACAGAGCTGGAAATCAGGTAAGACAGCAAAGAGGAGCCCTGTCTTGCTTCACATGCTCCAAAATAATAAGACCTCCCTGAAAATAAGGCCAAGCACTTATTGCTTATTTCGGGGTTCAAAAAAATATAAGACAAGGTCTTATTTTCATGAAAACATGGTAGTATCCTGCCTAATTTACTAAACTGTAGCTACCTTGCCAGAATGTTGTTTTTCTTTGTGTAATCTTTATTGCTTGCTTATGATTAGACTAGAATTAGCCATGAGTTCCCATAAAAATATAATCTGTATTATTTCAAAGGATAGACATAATCAGCATGAGTTGATAGTAGCACTGAGGTGTGTCTTGGTTTTACCCCTCCGCTATAATATCATTCAATTGAATGACCTCTAAATGTTTAGTTCATTGATTCAGAATCGCAATGCTAGGACTATCTAATCAATAACATTGTTTATTTCAGGTTCACATAAAGGAAGTCTATTAGATACAGGCCATTTAAAGTTTTTACAGTATTTTAAATTAATGGTCGCTTATGAGTACTACTGCATAGCTTCACTGGCAATGATAAATATCTAGAAAAAACAAATACATGAGGATGAACAGATTGTTAAGCAGCAGTGGGAATTTGGACATTTGCTTGTAATTCAGGTATCAGAATTTTGTTTGTATATTCTGCACACTGTATGCGAATGATTTTGTATTATTTTATTATTTTTCTTAATATTGGAAATAAGTTCTCTAAAATGCTAATAGTAAATTCTCATGCTGATCCTAGTCTTCATGACAATGCAAACCAAAGAAAGACAGAAATATTCACAAATATCACACAAGCTCTTTCCTAGCTTGGTTGTGACAATACTCCTATCTGTGCTGGGCTTTTTTGTGGCAATACCTACACAGATGGACCTGTCAGCCCCCCTGCATGTCTAAATATTCACTTTTATTTTGACACATGAGCAAGAGACAATAACTAAATGGTTATCTTCCCTCAGCCACCAGCTGTTCTCACTGGCAGCACAGGCAGTAGGAAGATTTGCATGAACTTCAGACCTGATTTTAATAGTGATATTCAGTGATTTTTCATTGAAAAACAATTACTCAGGTTTCATGGCTATTGCCTATCACTTTTTCTGAATTTACTTTCATGTGTCAGAAATTACAATAGTGTAATTTTCTTCCAATATTTTCAATTTAAAAACAGATGGCTAAAAAAGAAAATATGTAAGAATGGAATAAATAAATAAATATATATGATATAACCTTCTAGTATGTCCAGAGTCTGAATTCTGGATACAAGAGATACTATTGACTCCCAATGGTTCTGCTGAACTCTTGATTTTAATAAAACTTCAAACTCTGTTTCTCTACAATTCAATTTTTTACTTTCTCTACTAAGAGAATGGGAAAAACAGCACAATCAACCTGTGTGAATAAGGAAGTGGTTGGAAAAACTCAGATGGTTATCTCTGATGTTATTTGTATTAGTTTGTAGGCTACCTGGTCAGACAGATATTAGCCATTTAACTAGACATCATGGTAATAGACAAGGATCATAAGAGAGCAGTGATAATAGAAGTAGTGGTGCCAAGGAACAGCAAAATCAGGAAGGAGCGGATATGGAAAAATAAAGGCCGAAGTGATCCCAGTGGTAGTAGGAGCACTTGGGGCTATGACTCCTGAGCGGGAAAAATGACTCCAAGAGATCCCAGCAACAACATCAGAGCTCTCTGTTTAGAAGAGTGGATAGGAACTCTTAGAACACTCAAACTCTCAGGCATCTTGTAGAGGGCCCAATATTGAAAAAGACACATACCATCCAGAGGGGTAGGAAGGGTTTATATATACTTGTTAATTGCCTTTTTTCTTGTGCATCTTAATTAAGCTAAGATGTCTATTTTCTATTTCTTCTAATTTTGAAGAAATCAATAGGCTGTCAGGCTTCAATGACAATCTGATAAAATCTGATAAAATTCAGATTTTAAAAATGACAAACTGGCTTCTTCTTTAATAAAGATCCTATATAAATTGCATTATTTACTGTTTAAGCTGCTCAGCAGTAGAAATTCATAAAGTTGACATTGAAAAGTGACAGCTGGGTTCAAGAATGATATGAATTGTAGCCTCCTACTTCCCCAATTAAAATGGAGGGTGGAACCATAACAGTGGTGGGTTTCAAAATTTTTTACTACCGGTTCTGTGGGTGTGGCTTGGTGGGTGTGTTCTCTTGGTGGGAAGGTTACTGCAAAATCCCCATTTCCTCCCGAACAGCTGGGACTTGGGAGGCAGAGAATAGATGGGGGCAGGGCAAGTCAGAATTTTTACTACCAGTTCTCTGAACTACTCAAAATTTCCGCTACTGGTTCTCCAGAACTGGTCAGAACCTGCTGAAACCCACCTCTGGACCATAAGTAGCAAAACTGTTTGCAAACTATAGTATTTCAGTATTGTACTTTACTTAGCAAAGTCCCACAAACTCTTCTATGCAAAAAGAAAAGTTGCTTTTTCTTTGAGATGCTAATTTTTTATGTATAATGATTAACTTGACAGGAAGACTAAATGACAATCTCCAAATAAAAAATGTATTACTTATTTGCTATGACAGAGATAATCTTCTCTTATCATAGAAAAGGCTGTAAAGTAAGAAAATAAATTTAATGCTATAAGATTATGATGTACAAAGTTGCATCGTATTGAAAAGTATGTCATTCTCATAATCATAGTTACTATAGCTCATGGGTGTCAAACTTGATCATGTCACATGACATATTGCGATGTATCGTGATGGTTTCTTGTGAAGCCAGGGTGGGAGTGGTCTGTGTGTGACACATCCAGCCCGCCAGTTTAAAACCCCTGCTATAGCTGTCAATGCAATCCTGCTATGCAATTGTATTTTTATATATTGAGTTATAATCCCACTGAATTTGTGTAGCAAGGCATAAGAACTGTTATTTTGGGAGACTTGATCTGTTATGAGGAAATAGTTCAATTTGGGATACGAAAAAATAACTTTCATCTAATATCAAAGAAGTAATATTGCATATATAAAGTGTTTAATATTTTTAAATATTGTAAATAAAATATAAACTAAATATATATTTTAGAAATGGCAGGCAACATCCAAAGTAAAAGAGATGTATGGGCTACAATATGAAGGCAAGAATGATAAAAAAATGTGTTCAGTATTTATATAGCAAAGTGTGCAACATAAGCAGCAATACAATGTATGATTAACATGTTGGTGAAGGACTGAGCAAATTTAATTCACATCATTGAGTTATGGAAACTCAATGGCGGCTTTAGGTTTGTTACTGTCTTTCAGCCCAAATAACCTCATTGTATAGTTATTTTGTGAGAAAAAGGAGGAAAGAATGCTAAACGTGTCACTTTGAGCTTCTGGAGGCAAGACGGGAAATAATAACATACTTTAAAATATATGTCACAGATGACGTCTACTTCAAATATAAAGGCTAGTTTACAAGAAGCTCCTTCTGGTCAAGGTCATATATACCTGGATTTTGACACTGCATTAAGCCATAGTATAGTTTTGCTGGTTTTGGTTTAGCTATTGTGCTTTGTGAAATATGGTTTGTACCTTAACTTTATCCAGATTTAAAACGTGGCATGGTTAAAACAAATGAAGACCTACCAAAACAGATGATTTAACCATTACATTCACAGGATGTAAATGCAGGCCCACATTCAATCCAAGCATCTCCAGCTAAAATAATAATTTCAAATGGGCAAATAGGTAGTTTTCTATATAACAATGATTGATAGAAAAAGCACCAAAATATCCCTATTAGCTGGCAGCATAAATATCCCTGTAAACCTAATGAATTTGCTGCAACAAAGTAACACCAGTGTTGTATGATTTTACTATGATACCACAATAGGCATCCAAAGGAAACAAATTGTTATAGAAGGGCTGCATATTAATTTATGTATTATGCAGTTGTTTATTGATATGATCACTACAATTCGCAACCTTTGTAGGAAACATTAAAAAACAGGGCAATTGACTTAATTAAGAAAAGACTTAATTAAATCTTTCTACTTTATTATAAGCTTAGCCCACTTTAGGCACAAAGCCAACTGAGTCACCTTGGGCTAGTTACTTTCTCTTGGCCTTAGGAAGGAGGCAATAGCAAACCACTTCTGAAAAAAACCTTGCCAAGAAAACCACAAGGTATTTATTATCCAGGTAGTCTCCAAGAATCAGATGGAACTGAACAGAAGAAAAAAAATGTAGAAAACACACTATATTTTTTAAACTTGCAATTAATCAGTCACATAATAAAAAGCATAACACAGCATCTCTGACTATCCGTAGTAGCCTCTTTAGAAAATTATGAACAGCTTTACACATAGACACCTTCTCTTTTCCCTTACCAGCAGCTAAAGTTTGTCCCATTCCTGGCTTACTGTCGACACATCCAATTCGATTGCAGAGAGTAATGGTAAAAGAGTATGTTTTGTATGGCTCCAGTCCGGTCATTACATAGGATTGTTCATGTGCTTCAGCAACATACAAAGGCTGCAAAATAAAGAGACTCAAGATGTCTAGTCTGGGAGCGCTTCTCTTACTTTATATGAGTACATAGCATATTTAACAATAAGTAATTGGTTGGCCAGGGTTTGCCAAGCACCATTAGCAGAACCAGCAATATTTTGAAAAAAAAAGTTCAACATGCTATAGAATTAAATTATAATACGTTCATCACGATACTTTATGAGGTAATAATCCAGTTCCTGAGTAGACAAATGAGGGGAAAAAATTATTGCCTCATAAAGCTGTAGAAGAGAGGAATTATTTGTGCAAACTGTACAGATTATGCAAGAGAGTGGTATCACTATTATGTGATGAAATCTAACCAACTTGCAATGGAATCAGAGAAAGCATATTTTAAAATGAGGACATGCTGCCTTTTAAATAGGAAAAGTTATCATTATTATATATTACAACCAATAGGCACAGCACCAGAAATGTATTTTCTTCCTTAAAATACCTTAAATGAAAAGCATTAAAATGGAAAAATGGAAAGGAAAGGAAATATTGAATTTAAAAAGTTTATTCAATTAGACTGAGAAAACTTTTTTATCATCTATTCAAAAAGGTGAGTTTGGATCATCAATATCATTAAATGCATATCATTGTTGAAAGTGTAACAAATCATTGGGAACAATGTGCATATATTGGATCCCTTAGGTATTTTTTCGAGAAAATTCCTTAATAAAATCCCTGTACCTTTACCATTAATATATGAAGGCCCTTAGAGAATAATTCCATATTCTATGTCAATGGAGCTGCCTTGTATGAAAAGTTCTGGGAGAATCATTAATTAGAACGAGAATGAACATTTTAATTGTTCAAACCCAAAAAGAATACTTTACCAGCATGATTTCAGGGAAATGTTAGGGTGTTAGCAATTTTATTTTTTGCTATGAGATGAACGCTTTTCAAGTTTCATAACAGCTATGAATCAAAAAATTGCATAATGCAGAAAATAATATTAATATTGAGAAGACAACTGTAAATAGCAAAGGAGCCTCTGCAAAGGAGCTGAAAAAATAGTAGGCAACCGAGTTACCTGCTGTAAGAAGATAGCATAGACTGACTACAAACAACAGCATAACAAACTAGCAACAATGGTGCATTGGAAGATCTACAATAAATACCATTTGTCTGCAAGCAAGAACTGGTGGGACCATAAAATAGGAAATTCATAGTAAATGAAGCTAAATTGCTTTGAGACTTCAGAATTCAAACAGACAAGCACCTGCTAAATAACAGCCCAGACTTAGTAGCTATCAATAAGAAAGAAAAAATGAAATAGTGGACATGGCAATACCTCCAGACAGCAGACTAGAAGAGAAAGAACTGGAGAAAAATGCAAAGGCCTGCAGATGGAAATACAACTGTGGCAAAAGAAACCAAAGGTAATGCCAGTGGTAATAGGCACCTTGGGTGCAATCCCAAAACAACTGGACCAATACCAATGCCACTGCCATTGATAAAATCACCACCAGTCAATTACAAAAGGCAGCATTACTTGGAACAACTTACATCCTATGACAATACCTTTAACACCATCAAATACCACCCATTAGCCTATTCCAGGTCCTTGGAAAGAACTTAATAAATTGATTAAAACTACCAGACCCATTCTAAACATTTGGCTGACTATGCAAATAACAACAACAACAACAACAACAACAACAACAACAACACAGTTAATTGTTCAGCAGCGACATCAAAATGAACTTTGGACTTGAAAAATGTGCTATATTATCCATGCAGCAAGGAAAAATGGAAAAAATAGAAGGAATAGAACTGAGAAATGGAAACATAGTACTAATGGTTTTACCATTACCAAAGGATGATGGTTACAAATACCTAGGCATATTGGAAGCAGATAACATCTTGAATGGAAAAGTCAAAGAGTCAACACAAAAGGAATACATCAGTAGGGTCCGCAAAATATTAAAATCAAAGCTGAATGCTGGAAACATAATTACACTTTTGAATGTTCAGTTGACTGAGTTTCATGTTTAATGAATAATAATAATAATAATAATAATAATAATAATAATAATAATAATAATAATAATAATAATTCTTCTACGCAAAATGAGTTACAGGGCTCAACTCCTTCTGCTAGGCAGCCAGGGCATGGAGCTGACAAGCTACTGGAAGAAAAACCCAAAAAGCGAAAAATCTGGACCAGGGAAGAAAACACCTCTATTATGAAAGCTTACTATCAGTCTGAACCAGCAAAACATGGATTTCAAAAAAGAATGTATCAGATTTGGAAGATGAACCATACGGACTGTGACACCAGTGAACAAAGGTTAATGGACCAACGACGTGTAATCCTAAACCACAAATTTTTCACTACAGAAGAATTAATAGCAATAGAAGAGAAAGCAATTAATGGTCTGAGTACAACAACAAAGAGGAGTAACATCAAGAATGATTTCCAGACTCAAAAGCAAATTGAGGAAGAAAGGGAAGAAGAGGATACTGAAATGGATGAAGATGGATGAAGAAACGGCATTGGTCGCGTTGGTTGATGATCTCTGGAGGGCTCGGGACAGGGGTTGTTCCTCTGTTCTGGTCCTGTTAGACCTCTCAGCGGCTTTTGATACCATCGACCATGGTATCATGCTGCACCGGCTGGAAGAGTTGGGGGTGGGAGGCACCGTGTTGCGGTGGTTCTCCTCCTTTCTCTCCGACCGGTCGCAGTTTGTGTTGGCAGGGGGGCAGAGGTCGACCTCGAGGCCTCTCATTTGTGGAGTGCCGCAGGGATCGGTCCTCTCGCCCCTTCTGTTCAACATTTATGTGAAGCCGCTGGGTGAGATCATCCGTGGCTTTGGGGTGAGATACCACCAGTACGCTGATGACACCCAGCTGTACATCTCCACCCCAGGCCACCCCAACGATGCCCTTGAAGTGATGTCCCAGTGCCTGGAGGCTGTACGGGTCTGGATGGGGAGGAACAGGCTCAAGCTCAACCCTTCCAAGACTGAGTGGCTGTGGCTCCCGGCATCCCGATATAGTCAGTTGACTCCATCACTGACTATTGGGGGCGAGTCATTGGCCCCCACAGAGAGGGCTCGCAATCTGGGAGTCCTCCTGGATATGCAGCTGTCCTTGGAGGAACATCTGACGGCTGTAACCAGGGGGACCTTTTGTCAGGTTCGCCTGATTCGCCAGTTGCGGCCCTTTCTTGATCGGGATTCCCTGTGCACAGTCACTCATGCCCTCGTCACCTCTCGCCTTGACTACTGCAACGCTCTCTACATGGGGCTCCCCTTGAGGAGCACCCGGAGGCTCCAACTGGTCCAGAACGCAGCAGCGCGGGTAGTGACGGGAGCAGCATGGCGCTCCCATGTAACACCGCTCCTGCGCGAGCTGCACTGGCTCCCAGTTGTCTTCCGGGTGCGCTTCAAGGTGTTGGTTATCACCTTTAAAGCGCTCCATGGCATAGGGCCTAGCTATCTGCGAGACCGCCTGCTGCTACCGACGACCTCCCAGCGACCCGTGCGCTCCCACAGAGAGGGCCTCCTCGGGGTGCCATCAGCCAAACAATGCAGGCTGGTGACCCCCAGGGGGAGGGCCTTCTCTGTGGGGGCACCCACCCTCTGGAATCAGCTCCCCCCAGAGATAAGGAGAATCCAAGACCTCAGTGCCTTCCGTCGCGCCCTTAAAACCCATTTATTTAAACAAGCCGGGCTGGCTTAAGATGAAATTTTTAACTGTTTTTAAATGTTTTAAACGTTTTTAATTGGTAAATGAGTTTTAATTGGGCCAAATTTATATATCTTTTAATTGTTTTTAATATTTGTTCTGCATGTTTTTTTTAATCTGGCTGTACACCGCCCTGAGTCCTTAGGGAGAAGGGCGGTATAGAAATCCAATATAAAATAAAATAAATAAATAAAAAATAAAGATAAAGAACAAGGAAGCACTGAAGAACAAACACCAACAGATAGTGCTCAATTAGCTGGAAAAATAAAGCACCAAATGGAAGATGATGAAAGAACACGTTTGCCAAAGCTGAACCAAGTGAACCGGAAAGAATTGAGAAATGTACTAAAAAAGGTCAATGAGGCTATGCAAACTATTCGAACCACTACATTAGCCAAAACTAACCAACTGATGTATGCAGCAGCTGTCATAACCACCAAAGAACTGGGGTTGAAAATACAAAAGAACCAAAGAGGCAAGAAGGGGAAGCCTAAGTGGAAAATTCGGTTAGAATTGAAGATCAAAAAAGTACGTGGAGATTTGAGCAACTTGAAGAACCTAAGGCAAGGTCAGCTAAAGAACAAGCAGGTCAAAAGCAGCCTGGAAGCAAGATACGATCTAAGGAATAAGGAGATTGCAATAGTAATTGAAGAGCTGAAGCAGAGGGTTGTTGCCATTGCTGAAAAGATTAAAAGGTATGAAAACCGAGTAACTCAGTTCAAGGAAAACTCACAGTTCAGAGCAAATCAGCACCAGTTTTATAAGAGTTTAGAAAATGGAAACGGAGTAACAACCAATGAAAAGCCTGATAAAGAGAAAGCTCTAAAATTCTGGAAGAATTTGTGGGAAAACAACAAGAAGCACAACAGAAATGCAAAATGGATCAAACAGGTTGAGGACTCTATTAAAGTGCATAAAATGGAAGACGTGAAAATAACAAAAGCAATGGTGCAAAGACAGTCAAGAAAAGTGAAGAACTGGAGTGCACCTGGACCGGATGAGCTGCATGGCTTCTGGTTAAAGGCACTTACAAGTCTGCACAAAAGATTGGCAACCCAGATGAACCAGATCCTAAAAACACCTGAAAATGATGGATGGATGACAACTGGAAAGACATTTTTGATCCAAAAAGATAAAGAAAAAGGAAAGGACCCTGGAAACTATAGGCCAATCACCTGCTTGCCAACAACATACAAGCTTCTTACTGGTATCATTGCAAACCAAATCAATGGATACCTGGAAAGAAATAACTTGCTTCCTGTAGAACAGAAAGGATGCTGCAAAAACTCAAGAGGAACAAAAGATCAATTGCTGATCGACAAGATAATCCTAAAGAACTCAAAGAAAAGACGAACCAACCTGTTCATGGCTTGGATAGACTATAAGAAAGCATTTGATTCAGTTCCCCATAGCTGGATCAAGAAATGCCTGGAAATATTAGGCATCAGCAGCAACATACAAAAATTCATGGAATCTTCAATGAACCTCTGGAAAACAAAACTTATGGCTAATGAAGAAGAACTGGGTGAAGTTGAAATTAAACGAGGCATTTTCCAGGGCGATTCCCTTTCACCCCTACTTTTTATACTCTCAATGCTACCACTGACAATCATTTTGAAGAAGATGAACTGTGGATACGAACTTGCAAAGAAAGGACTGAAAATCTCGCACTTGATGTACATGGATGATTTGAAGCTGTTTGGTAAAACAAAAGCTGAACTGAATTTATTAATTGAAAACACAAAAGAATTCAGCCAAGACATTGGTATGCAGTTTGGAATTGACAAATGTGCAACAACAGCAACCAAAGCAGGCAAGATCATAGAAGAGGATGGAATAGAACTAGAGAATGAAGAAATGATAAAGGCAGTAAAATCAGAAGAAGGCTACAAGTACTTGGGGATTTTAGAAGCCTCTGACTTAATGCATAATAAAGTCAAGGAATTAACTTCAGCCAAGTACATTCGACGAATTCGCAAGATATTAATGTCCAAATTGAGTGGAGGAAACATCATAAAAGCCATAAATACCTGGGCTATACCTGTGATTAGATACTCTGCAGGAATAATTGACTGGACCCTGATGGAGTTAGACAATTTGGACAGAAAAACAAGGAAGCTTATGACAATGAATCATGCCTTGCACCCTAAAAGTGATGTTGACCGATTATATTTACCAAGAGCAGAGGGTGGTCGAGGACTCCTACAAGTAAAGCAGACTGTGGAAGAAGAAAAATGCAGCTTGAATGGTTACATCCAGAAAAGTGAAGAACCAATGATTAAGGAAGTAAATAAAGGAGGCCTTTTAAAGACAACTAAAACAAAAGCAGAATATAAGAAAGAAGTAATTGAGCAGCGAGCTGAAAATTGGAAACACAAAGCTCTGCATGGCCAATACTTGAAAAGTATTGAAGGCAAAGCTGACCAGAAACTAACTTGGAACTGGTTAAGATCAGGAGTACTGAAAAAAGAAACAGAAAGCTTTATTTTGGCAGCTCAAGAACAAGCCCTAGCCACAAACTGTATGAAGGCAAAAATTCAACATGTTACCACCAACAGCAAATGCCGCCTCTGCAATGAAAAAGAAGAGACAGTTGACCATCTGATCAGTGGGTGCAGCAAAATTTCACAAACTGACTACCTACAACGCCATGACCGTGTTGCTAAAATCATTCACTGGAAATTGTGCCAGAAGTTTAGATTTGAGTACAGCAAAAACCACTGGGAACATCAGGTTGAGAAAGTTTTAGAGAATGAGAAACTCAAGATCTTGTGGGACTTTAGGATTCAGACTGACAGGCACTTGGTCCACAACACACTTAACATAACAATAGTTGAAAAGAAAAAAGTATGGTTCATTGACATTGCAATACCTGGTGATGCACGAATTGAAGATAAGCAGCAAGAAAAAATCACAAAGTACCGGGACTTACAAATTGAAGTTGAGCGACTGTGGAAAAAGAAATCGTGTGTTGTCCCGATTGTAATTGGAGCCCTCGGAGCAATACCCAAAGGGCTACCCCGCTATTTAGAAATTCTAAATTTGCCGAACTTCAACATTTTGACTCTACAAAAAACCACCTTACTCGGAACAGCTTACATCCTCCGACGATACCTTAACAGTTCCTAGGTCCTTGGTTAGGACTCGAGCTGCTGAGCTATTAACCAGCCTCAAAGGCTGTGAATCTCACTAAAGATTAACCAAACAACAACAACAACAACAACAACAACAACAACAACAACAACAATAATAATAATAATAATAATAATAATAATAATAATAATAATAATAATATCAGTTGAAAAAAAGGAATGGGGAAGGGGAAAACAGCCCATATCCAATCTTTTAGGCATAACCAGAAAAATAGAAAATGGTATATCCATATTGGGCTTATTGAATATCTTTTCAGAATAAAACCACATATTTATGTTCACAAAGGGCAACTTAACTTCAGAAGAGTCTTTCAAAAATCATTATTTCCCTTTGACAAGAATGCAAATAAATAGTCAGATCCACCTTGGGCAGTTTGCCATAATAACTTTGATATCTCACTGTATTTTAATAAATCTAGGCACTGCTCCATTGGCAAATTTCAATTTGGCATAGCCATAAAGATTGGGACCACTTTAGAGGATCCATACATCAATAAGCAGAGAAAACAGATTGCTAATAACAATAATACCTGAGAAAACATTGGCAATATTTTTTGTTCAGTAATTACATTGACGCTATACCCCATCACTTCTCCTCTTGCTTCATTATCTCGTGGCTTTTCCCAAGACACATTCAGAGAATATGGTGAAAGAGGGAATACTGATGGAAGTGGCATGAATACAGGAGCTAAAACACAAATAAATGTGCTAATTTATCATAAAATAAATGAACAACATGTGTCAGGCACGTTTTCCCACTATATTTGTAAAATACCATCTGTTAAACTTGATAAAATGGCTCTTTGCATCCAATTCCTAAATAAGCAGCTTGTAGAAATTAATTTTCAGGACTAAAAGGAATTTTCATATTTTTTTAAAGCTACAACTTCAAAGTAAACATTTGCCACCTTATAAGCAAACTCTTGGATCTTTTTTTTTTTCTATAAGGCACAAACCACCACTTAAATTTTAAATACAATATAGGCTTCATGTAAAGCACAGGCTTATCTTGACTTGGGAAAACCTGATTAAAAGGAAGGCTGAGTAATTCAACAAAGTACGGTACATTTAATTACTGAGAAGCTTGGAAGTGCATATTTCTGCCTAGTGTCTCTCTTTTTCTTTCTCCCTGTGTGTGTGTTAATGTGTGATTTAATTTTATGACCTCCAATTTTTTAAAGATAATTCCGTGTTTTAGAACTTATTCAGGCACCATTAATTGGCAGTGTTTTAGAAAGACTTCTTATATATCACTCTTCAGAAAAATCTGCTGGAGGTTTTAACTTCACAAGCAAATGAAAGTGAAATCCTTGGCTTGAAGCCATTATTTAATTTGCCCAGCCAAAAAGTGTTTTGGACTTAGATACCCAAGTAGTAGAATTAGTAAGACTAGTTTTTCAATTCTTCCTATCAATTCACATTACCTTCCTAAGCTGCCTCAAATTTACCTAAGATTTGTAGAAATGTCACAACCAGGAAGACTCTTGATTGCAAATCAAGGCTAAAGTTATATAAACAATTCATTGCCCTCTTGCAGAAGTTGTGGAATCTGTTTGTATCCTTGGTAACCTTTTTTTCTGCTTTGAGAAATTCTAGCTTTTAGCAAATTCTCATGAATTAATTTTCAGTATAAATTTAATAGAAATCAGTGGATTTAGATAAGTTTCTTAGAGGTTTATTTATTTATTTAAATGAACACAGTAAAAGTTTTTAGCAGCTAAATATCATTAGTCAAAATAAGTAAAGTGAGTATGAAGTCACTGGAAATCAATATCTGCCTGTTCTAAATCTTATATTGTAAAACCAATATATTGATATTAGAGATCATGTATGGCTTCCATTGAAAGCCAAAACCTTACTGTCTGCCCTATGCCACTTTTTTAAAACTTAAATAAAAAATAATAATGACATTTTAGACTTAAACCCCAACTTAAAAAAACAAAAACAAGCAAAAAGTTTTGAAAGCTCTTTCTGAAATATTAATCTAAATGGTTAATGTAAACTCCAATAATTACCTGCCTCTGCTGTTCTTTGCAATGTCCAATTTGAAATTGTGCTGCCAGCCATATTGGCTGATAAAACACGGAACTCATAGTCTGTGAATGGCTCCAAATCAGTGATGACAGTACTAGTTACAGGTGGTGTCAAAGCTTTCTCGTGTACAGAGTCTTCCACTGGATCAAGATTAAACCATCCATTGCTTTGGAAAACACAGTTCTCAGGAGAAACATGACTTCCATTGGATTGTACACCTCCTTTCATATATAATTCATACCTAATAATTACACCTAGAAATGAAAGCAGGCAGCTTACAAAACAAGTAATGTATATTTCTTTGAAAATATTTACATTTCTACTTTTGTCATTACTATTTAATGCTGAAACTGGTGTGACTCAAAGTATATTGCCTAACTCATCCTCCCAAACATGCATTTGTGAATAGTTGTTCCTTGGTGGAAGTGTGCCAATATCAATGACACTAAGGACCAATCATCATCATAATAATAACTTTACTGTCATTGTACTTGTATACACAGTATATCCCTACAACATATAACCATAACCTATATACTCTTCAACTTCTGAAAAGGACAAAATAGCCCTTCAGAATGTGAAGGCCTCTTGAAATTAACTTTTAAATGCTTTACAGTTTCACTTCCTATTGAATAATTTCCTATTTAATAATAGGAAATAAATTCCAGAAACTAGCAGTTGAAAAAATCCAACCTTGCAAAGGGTCAACACTGGGAAGAAACCTTCTATATAGAATAAGAAAGAAAACTTTGATGGAAATATGCAAGAACTGTTACCTAGACAAAAGGGGTGAAACATTTTTTTTAAATCTAGAGCAACATGATAACATTCAGAAGTGACTCAGGAAGATGCCTCAGGAAGATACCTCCCAAATTTCCTGGAGTATAAGAAACAAGAGGAAGGACAGCACAATCAGATTTGCAAGATTCTGTTATTACAACTACTTTCAAATCTTTCCTGTAGAGTTGATTTCTGGTCTGGGTTACTTAATGGACTTGACACTTTCTCTTTTAAGTGTTTAAGGATAGCAAGAGATAACATACATATGCAATGAACTGTCTATTATCTCAACAATTATTTGTAGACCTCCATGAGTTTTATTTCTACTCCTGAAAATTATAGACCATAAGTATGCATTCTCTTAAGCAGAAATTAAGCAGTTAGATCTTTGGAAGAAGAAGTTATATTGCTAGTAATGTGTGACACACTATCAAAAGAACATCAGATCTATTATACTGAGTCAACTCAGAAGTCTCTCCATTCCAGTACTAGCTAGCAGAAAATTTCAAGTTGGTTTTTCCAGCCCTATCTAGAGCTATGGAGACCAACTACATGCAAAGTGTGTGCTGTACTCATGAGATATTCTCCCCTTTCTATATGTGACCACAAATGAGGTAGTAAATGGGGGCGGAGAGAGAGAGGGAACAAATCTCATTGAGTCTTATACACATTGCCTTCATGTATCCAAGGGACTTATTCTGTTTTCAGGAAAAATCCCGATAATATATAGATCCAGTACAATTCTCCCCAAATTGCTGAATTAAACACAAAAACTTACCATTGGCTTTCCTGGGTGGGAGCCATTCTACAGCCAATTCAGTAGAGCTGATATTTTGTATGACTGGAGGTAGCTGCTTTTCAGGAGGTGCTTGTGCAGTAACTATTGACAGTTGCTGGCTTAGCAAACAGCCTCCACTAGTACATGCTTGAACGTAAAAGTTGTATTTTGTAAATGGAACTAAATTCCAGATAGTTATAGAGGTCCCCAAGCTTTCATGCTGGCCACAAGATTGATGTTCAAATGAAGAAATGCATGTCAAAATATATTTCTCTATTAGACCAGTGTCATTGGATAAGGCTGTCCAGTTAAAAGAAATAGAATAAGGTCCAACAGGAAAGACTGGATTTAAATGCAGATTTCCTAGAGGTATCCCAGGTTGTGTTCTGTAAGTCAACTCAGTACTTCTTGTAAATCCATGGATGTTGCTTGCTTCAATGTAATACTTATAGAAGGTATACGGAAGTAAATTGCTATCAACAAAGACCTGGAGGCCTGAAAGAAGTATGTAAACATCTTTCATTTATTTTTACAGTATACATTAAACTATAACTTGCATTTTAGACTACAGTTCTTATAAAATGACAAAGAAAAGAAAACAAAGCTGGAGAATATTATTAACCAAAATATGACAATCATTTTAAAAAGAATGTAGTAAATAAAATGCTGAATAGTTAAAACTTAGCAAATATCTTTGCTTGCTTCAAGCCATAGAGCTAAAAGACTGACTCAGGAAAATGAGCCCCAAATCACAAGATCTGAATCTTTTGGAGCCTTGTGTGGAGAAAACTTGCTGAGAAGGAAAAAAAGGTGTTACATTATACTTGTCAACCCTGAAATGCTGTATTTTAAATCATTACTGAAGAATCAACATAAAGCTTAATTTAAAAAGGAAGATATATTTTACTATCAATTTCTCCTCAACCATTTAGCATAAACATTAGTAGAACTGTAAAATATAAAATGTCAAGATCTTTGCCTTTTACTTTATGACCATTAAATACTTTCCTCTGCATTTTGTTTCTTACTAGACTATTGTTAAAGTTGCAGCCAAGCTCTTTGGACTGCATCTCTAACGTTACAATGACTTTTGCTAGGGCTGCATTTATTCATATGTGCATGAGCTGGTTTTTGTTTTCTTGTGTTTTAATTATCTGAAGCAAGTCAAATATAATGTTGGATGTTAGTTAAATTTACAATAATAAGTATAGTAATAAAAAATCTTTTTCTTTTACAAATAAATAATATTTTCTGGAATTAATCTAAAGCATTATGGAATAAACACCTAAAATGAGATCTTCTAGATCAGGGGTGTCAAACTCAATTTCATTGAGGGCCGCATCATGGTTGTGTTTGACCTCAGGGGGGCCAGGTGGTCATGGCTGGGGTGGGTGTGGCCAGGGTGGGCATGGCCAGCTTGACATCACTCATGTCAGGAGGCATCTGTGGTGGCTGGGGTGGGGCGGGGGGATCCTCCTGCAGCCTTCTGACAGCAAAAATGGACCCCAGAAGCTCCACTTTTGTTGGCTGTGGCACTGCGGGCTGGTTCTTCGCTATTTCCAGGGCAGCCCTGCGGGCCAGATCTAAGCACCCTGTGGGCCAGATTTGGCCCACGGGCTTCGAGTTTGACACCCCTGTTCTAGATCAAACCAACAATTTCCCTTGGTAAGGAACTCAAGTAGTTCAGAATTGTCCTGAACAAACAGCAGTGTTTCTCCAACATGTCTTGGAAGAGTCCATAATTTAATGTCAGAGGCTTTGCTTTATATACTCAAAAGCTCAAGCTCAATCATTAGCAGTTCAAAGATTCAGGTAGCAGGTCATGGAAGAAACCTCTCCTTAAGACTCTGAACAGCCACAGCTAGTCAAAGTAGATATACTGGGCTAAGTGGACCAATAGTCAGATAGACATCATTTTCCCACTAGTGACTTATAGTGTCTTTATAGCATCAGACAGCCATTGCTGAAGTGATATAAAGCCTGTCCTCATTATTATTATTTTCACGCAGACATGGCTGGCCTAAAATAATGTTTCTCAATCTTGACAACTTTAAGATGTGTGGATTTCAAAAAGAATTGAAGACTACATTGCATAAAGTTGCCAAGGTTGAGAAACTCTGGTCTAAAAGATCAAGTAAATTGCTAAAGAGGAAATGACCAGAGTATGTACTTCTAATCTTACTCATGTCTATCCTTACTCATATCTCAATATAATTGATAATCAATATTCATAGGAATGAATATTTTTAACTGCCTGGAATTCATTTCATTTCATTTATTAGATTTCTATACCGCCCTACTCCCGAAGGACTCAGGGCGGTGCACAGCCAAACAATAAAAACACATACAATACAAAATTTAAAAAATAGAATAAAATCAAATTAAATAATTTTGGCCCCGACAAATTTAAAACCCCAAACTTTTAAAACCAATTTAAAATTGAATATATAAATACTAAAAGATGTTTAAAATTTTAAAAATCTTTTATAAAAGAGGGGGAAAATTAGGCCAGGCCGGCCTGGTGAAATAGTAAGGTCTTTAAGGCGCGGCGGAAGGTGCGCAGATCCGGGATCCTCCGTATCTCTGGGGGGAGCTCGTTCCAGATAGTAGGTGCCCCCACAGAGAAGGCTCTCCCCCTGGGGGCCGCCAGTCGGCATTGTTTGGCTGACGGCACCCGGAGGAGCCCCTTTCTATGGGAGCGTACCGGCCGGTGGGAGGCTATTGGTGGTAGTAGGCGGTCCCGCAAGTACCCGGGTCCTAAGCCATGGAGCGCTTTAAAGGTGGTAACCAAAACCTTGAAGCGCACCCGGAAGACCACCGGGAGCCAGTGCAGCTCGCGCAGGAGAGGTGTTACATGGGAACGCCATGTCGCTCCCATTACCACCCGCGCGGCCGCACTCTGCGCCAGTTGGAGCCTCCGGGTGCTCCTCAAGGGGAGCCCCATGTAGAGAGCGTTGCAATAGTCCAGGCGGGAGGTAACAAGGGCATGAGTGACCGTGCGTAAAGAGTCCCGATCCAGAAAGGGACGCAACTGGCGAATCAGGCGAACCTGATGAAAAATCCTCCCGGTCACGGCCATCAAGTGCTCTTCTAAAGACAGCCGTGAATCCAGGAGGACGCCCAAGTTGCGAGCCCTCTCTGTGGGGGCCAATGATTCGCCCCCAATAGTCAGTGATGGCGTCAACTGACTATATCGGGACGTCGGAAACCACAGCCACTCAGTCTTGGATGGGTTGAGCCTGAGCCTGTTCCTCCCCATCCAGATCCGTACGGCCTCCAGGCACCGGGACATCACTTCAAGGGCATCGTTGGGGTGATCCGGGGTGGAGATGTACAGCTGGGTGTCGTCAGCGTACTGATGGTACTCCACCCCGAAACCACGGATGATCTCGCCCAGCGGCTTCACATAAATGTTGAACAGGAGAGGCGAGAGGACCGACCCTTGCAGCACCCCACATATGAGGGGCCTCGGGGTCGACCTCTGTCCCCCTGTCAACACAGACTGCGACCGGTCAGAGAGAAAGGAGGAGAACCACCGCAACACATTGCCTCCCACCCCCAACTCTTCCAACCAGTGCAGCATGATACCATGGTCGATGGTATCAAAAGCCGCTGAGAGATCTAACAGGACCAGGACAGAGGAGCACCCCCTGTCCTGAGCCCTCCAGAGATCATCAACCAACGCGACCAATGCCGTTTCCGTGCTGTACCCGGGCCTGAAGCCTGACTGGAACAGATCCAGATACGTCGTTTCATCCAGGTGCTGGGGGAGTTGTTGCGCGACCACACTCTCAACAACCTTCGCAACAAAGCGAAGATTGGAGACCGGACGATAATTTACCAACATTGCCGGGTCCAGGGAAGGCTTCTTGAGGAGAGGCCTCACCACCGCCTCTTTCAAGGCGGCGGGAAAGTCACCCTCACTCAACGAAGCGTTTATAATCCCCTGGAGCCAGCCTCGTGTCACTTCCCGGGAAGCCAGTACTAACCAGGAAGGACACGGGTCCAATAAACAAGTGGTCGCGTTCAGTCTACCCAGAATCCTGTCCACGTCCTCAGGGGTCACAGGATCAAACTCATCCCAGATAACATTCTCAAGACCTGCCCCTGTCTCTCCCCCTGAGACTACCCAGTCGGAGTCCAAATCTTCCCGAATCTGAGTGAATGAAAGTCAGTAGTGCACAAAAACATTTCTGCTCATCTAACTCTTTCATCTCTTTTCTTTGTCACTTCCCTGCAGCCACTGCAGAGGATTGGGGAAGATTTGGAAGGCCCATGTTTCACTGCAGGGGAGAAGGGTTAGCAATGCTCCAGTGGATGGAAGCATTTCCATCAACAGAAACATCCCCACAGAATGAAAGCATTAAAAAAAGAAAAAGAAACTAAGAGTTAAAGGAGAAAGGTTTCTTTGGAATGCACAGGAAGTTCTCAACTTACAACAGTTTGCTTGTTGCAGGATCCAATCTGGGTTGGTCACTCGGACCAGAGTTTTTGTGTTCCAAGCTTGCGGATTCGTGCTGGAGCCCATTTACTTGGCTAGAGAGAAGTTTCCCTGAAGATGGGTCCCAGCACAAGTCTGAAAATTTGGAAGACAAAAACTCTGGTCCCAGTGACTGACTCAGATTGGATCCTGAAACATTATCCTAGGATATATATATATTTACTTTCATTCATGAGTTTGTTTAGTGTCTGCTCAAAGTTACAACAGCACTGAAAAAAGTGACTTATGACCATTTTTCATACTTATGATCATTGTAGCATCCCCATGGTCACATCTGGATGCTTGACAACTGGTTTATATTTATGATGATTTCAGTGTCCCGGGGTCATGTGACACCCCCCCCCCCTTGCAACCTTCTGACAAGCAAAATCAATGGGGAAGCCAGATTCACTTAACAACCATGTTACTAATCTAACAACTTCAGTGATTCACTTAACAAATGTGGCAAGAAAGATCATAAAATGGGACAAAACTCACTTAACAAATTTCTCACAAAATTTTGGGCTCAATTGTGGTTATAAATTGAGGATTACCTGCATCTATTTGCATTCTTGCTTTGATATGAAAAACTCTAAACATAATTTTGCTCTGACTCTAGAAAGCTATCAGTTAAATAAGCAAGGTTTTGAGGATATTAAGTGACTGATTGTTGTCACCAGGGTGATAGGGGTTATTGTTTTTTATTGTTTTTTATATCAGGTTTTTCTTTGTAAGCCACCCAGAGTCACTGAGAGTTGGGCAGCCATATATATTTTCTTAAATAAATAAATAAATAAATTTATAACTTTCCTTAACAAATTGGCAGCTTTTATATTTGTAATTTCACACTGTTATTCAAACTAGGAGTTCTATGAAGGCAGAAGTCTTTAAGTGGTTGTGTGTAATATAAATGCTATATACATCCTGAGAGCAGCCATAAATGTAAGAATTTTGTAGCATTAACTCAATTTACAAAGGTTTCAAATAATTATGTTTGTCAAAAATCTCAAACTATTTATCTAGCCACATAAATACATACAAGTTCAGTTTGGGCCCTGGAAATTATTGATATCAGTCTATGATTAGACAAGTAGTACTTTTAATTATTGTAACATTAACTGCTTACTCTGCTAATGAATCTTGAAAAGACACCCACAAAATATGGGAGGCAAGAGGTCCTGACTGGTACAGAGCTGCACATTGGTCTCAAAGTTTAGGAATTTTGTCTAGTTGCCAGCACTATTCAAAGTGTGATATAAACACCTAGAAGTTTCCTGCCTAATTAAGACCCTTGGGAGTGGACACATCTGCCTTTTGATGAAAATATGCAGAGAGCAGATCTCTTAGGCAATGGAAGAGGCTGTTGGACGTATATGGTGTTATATTTGTGCTGTGTGAACTAGAGGTGCTGGAGGTCCTCTTTGCATCCAGCCACAATGGAAAGAAGAATCTGCAGCTTGATGGCTCAGTAGAAGCAAGCATGATTAGAAAGAGAGATCTACAGAACAGATTGGCTAATGGACTGCTATATTCAGAAGGATTGACTGGGAATCAGTGACAAAAGCTTGACCAACGAACTGGAATTCAACAAGCGATTTCCCCCTCTTTCCCTTCTTGTCCCCAGGTTAAGTACAGTAAAGTGATGGTAGTGAAGCTGTCTCATGAGTGAGCATTTAAAAGCAGAAATAAAAGTAGAAATGATAGCAGTGTTTCAATATCTAAGGGGCTGCCACAAAGAAGAGGGGGTCAACCTATTCTCCAAAGCACCTGAAGGCAGGACAAGAAGCAATGGATGGAAACTAATCAAGGAGAGAAACAACTTAGAACTATGGAGAAATTTCCTGGCGGAACAATGAATCAGTGGAACAACTTGCCTCCAGAAGTTGTAGATGCTCTAACACAGGGAGTTTTTAAGAAGAGATTGGATAACCATTTGTCTGAAATGGAAAAGGGTGTCCTGCCTAAGCAGGGGGTTGGACTAGAAGACTCTGTTATTTTGTAATTCTGTAAATATAGAATGATTGAGTGAATCAGGGAGGAAGCATTTGGGACAGTTAAGAACCTGCAAAAAGTTCTGTAAAGAAATGTATCTATAATTTGATAAGCTAAGGCCTGTGTGTGTATAATATAATCGTATACAGACCCACAAATATACAAATATTAATTTATTAAATGTATATTAATTGAAAAATACTGAAACAATAGCCACCAATGTAACCTAGAGGAAATGTTTGTATGTTTGTATGTGCAACTACAAGTCAGAAAAGTTCTTGTCCTTTCCCCACTTTATTCAGTTGTAAGAATATCCTTTTTTTGTTTTAACTTTCTCAGTGTATTTATGTCAAACAGTATATGCCAGGATCCAATTATAATTGTATGAATCCTATGTATAGCAAACTAGCATAGGGTATATAAAATAATAAAGCATTCTTTGGTATGTGAATGACAAAAATGTAAACATTTTAGGATCTGAGCTGCTTTTCTATACACAGAAACCTAATATATCAAGAGTTTTTTTTTAATGGATTGAATAAATAGGCTAGAAATTTTTTCACACATAACATACTTTATATCATGTTGATTTAAAAATGCAGCAGCAACAGTAAATAGATTGGGGTCAAAAAAGAAAATGTGACTTTAAAACCCACAAAGAAAAAGTTGAAATTACATTTACTTGATGTGTGAAAAACAACAGCCAAGATATTATATATGTGGAAGAACATATAAAACAATGCTCCAATCAAGAATAAAATGAATAATGAATTAAAAAACACTTTTGAAGTAAGCAAACTATAAAGGCGTATATCATATTAACGAGCACTCACTGTAAGGATGATAGTCTTCTGTTGTATAGATCTGAGTCCCATTTCTGTATAGTTTGTAAGCAAGCCAATTTGAATTGGGAGAATCGGGTGGATTCCAAGTGACTCTGATAGCTGAAGAATTTACAATCTGTCCTTTGGGAGGAGGCTGCTGGGAAGGAGCTAGATTAAAATGAAGATTGAAAGGGAACAATTGCCACAGTTTAATAAACTAACATGCATCCTGCTAGGGAAAAGCCCCCAAATCTATACTTCATTAAGAAGGCCTACCATTTCGGGCTTTTCTTACAAGAAAGCTTTAGCATAATTACAAACCAAATTTGCATGTCAAACTAGTTACCTAGCACAGATAGGTAACTCCAACATTTCTGGTTTGGCAGACTGGCTATGGTGGTGATGGTGGCAGGGAGTCAGGGGAAACGGGATGATTTCATGCATGCACATGCATGTGCATGCCGCTTTCACAAATGCAGCTTCGCACACATGAACACACACTCACCCAACACTTCCTTGTCTAGGGATGGGGGTTGTGGACCTCTGACCTAGCATACATTGGAAATTATAAATACAGAAAAATGCCATTCACTGGATGAAACCTGAGAATGGTTAGATACTATTTTATCTCCCCATGCTAACATAATGCATGCAGGTTGAATTCAATTTTCTTCAAAGGAATCTCTGCATATTGTCCAATGCATCATTTGATCTGGAAAACTACCATAGATCCCAAGGTTCTGGAAATTATTTGGAGAAGTGCTTTATAATATGTGGAAGTGGTCTAGGACAACCACCACAGCCAACTTGCCACAGCCAATTTGCCATGGCCAACTTGTTACAACCAATTCACCACAGGATAACTTGCCACAGGACAATTCAATGCTGTACTAATTGTTTAATTCAGGTACTTTTATTATTGGTGACCATGTTTTCATCAAAATTATTGTAACTCTTGTATTTCTGAATTGACTTTCTTTATTTTATTATTATTGACCGTGGTTCCATCAAAATTAATTTAACTTTTGTATTTGTTGAATTGTCCTGTGGTGAGTTATCCCAAGGCAAGTTGGCCACGGTGAATTGGCTGCAGTGAGTCGGCCATGGCGAGTTGGCCCATTCCATGTGGAAGTGCATATGAAGCTCCTCCCTTCAAACCATGGTTGAAATGTAGAACATTGGACATTTTCTGAAGCAATAGCATGAGCCTGAGAAATGATGCTACTTTTTCAATGATTTGAAGAGAGGGATTTCAAAAGTGGTTCTGTATATTCCTAATATAATAATTTATTAATCAATTAACCATATTAGGATACAACAAATGCACCAGCTAACAAAGGGATAAAATAATGATAAATATAACAAAGTACAGTACAAAGTATATCAAATGAATGCATGTACTGTATACATATGACCCTGATCTGTTCTATGTACGATAACAAGCTCTTAGCTGAAAAGCTTTAACCAAAAACTTGACAGTTCTGCTGACTACATATTTAGTATCCTGAAAGAGGTACAACAATTTGTTGTTGAAGTCCCAAGTTTGTTTTTGTCCATATAGTTGCAGCATATAATTGACATTCAAGCAAGACATATATAATACCTTCTATATCTGAAGCTCAACAGATGCACTTTCTGTCATCATACAGCACATAGTTAAATTATCCATACTTTATCATGGAGTCCAGCAATTCAAATCTGGCTCTGATAAGGACTATTTTTGTCAGGTATTTTTCTATTTGGAACATCATTTTATCCTGGCTAACTTTAAAAAATCTAGAACTTGCAATCAGCAATACATCAGTTTGGGCACTAATACTTCAAAGTGTTTGAAGATTTCCTTGGCCTCGTATTTGTGGTTACCAACAGTAGATACTAATTGTGCTTTATGGTCAGACATTAGAAAGTAGACCTCATACTCAGGGACAAAATAACTATTGCCTTTCAGCATTACCATAACATTGGTTTATACATGAATAAAAATATAATATTTCAAAATAACTTCATTGATTTTGGCTTCAAAGATACATCCACATAACAATGGTCAGCACATTATCAAATAGATAAATCAATTTCACCCAAAACAAGGGTTCTATATTTTTCTTACAGTCATCCATAATGCTGATCCTCCTTTAACTGTTAAGTATGAAGGCTATTCCCAAAATAAGAGATATAACACAGGCTCAGAATTGACCAGTTACCAAGAGCTAGGATGTTCTAGCATAATTTTATTGTTTAATTAAAATCACTTTCTTATTAAAATAGGGAGCTTTACCAAGTACTAAATCAGTCAACTATATTAATCAACTCCAGCAGACTGAAGAAAATAGAGCCTTGTGGCTATGGTTGTCTTTATAAAACATCTTTTCCAGCCTTTTCTTCCTGGCATTACAGTTAAAATTAAAATTTATATTCCTATTTAAGATTACTAGTCTACTTTTAAATTTTGAAATTCTTTATACAGTTTGAAACATAATTATTAGGAAAGGGGTTTTTTTTGTTATCATTATGAGTAGTAGTATTACTATTCTATCCCTTAGGCTTATATAAGAGCATCATTTAATATCAACTCTTAACTTCCATAATAATCAGTGTGAAACAAAGGCAATGACAGAAGATTGGGTTGGGTTGGGTTGGGTTCAGTGGTGGGTTGCCCACAGTTCGGACCAGTTCACAAGAACCGGTAGTAAAACAGGCGTGAGGCCTTGCCCACTGCCCCGGATGTCATCAGAAGCACGATCCCATTGTGAACTGGTTGCAATGGTAAGTAGAACCCACCCCTGGTTGGGTTGGGTTGGGTTGGAGTGGAATGAAAGAGAAGAGAAGAGAAGAGAAGAGATTTATCTGGCTAAGTAAGGTTAGACACACAAGGAATTTGGCACAGAAACACTCCATGTACTTGCATATTACAAAAATGAACTACATTTCTATTTGTTCTACCTTAGTACAAATTTAGGAATTTCCTCCTTGGCATGTTAGCTACCACTGTTCACTTCTATAGGCTCCTTCTTTGGGATGTAAACCTATATATAAAAGTTTTTTTTTTTACCTTAGTTGTGGATAGGGACATAGAGAGAATAAAGACTAAATCTCCTACAAGCTCCTTGAAGATGACTTCATCATTAGCAATGATAGCAGCACAGAATCTTCCTTCCTTCCTTCCTTCCTTCCTTCCTTCCTTCCTTCCTTCCTTCCTTCCTTCCTTCCTTCCTCCCTCCCTCCCTCCCTCCCTCCCTCCCTCCCTCCCATTTTGTGTTTGATTCTTTTTTTCTTCTTCTTGCACTGGAAGTAGCATCAAGCAAATAACATTTGAAAATTCAGAAAATTACCTTCCTCAACAACCCAGATTCTGCTGCACTTTCATGGTCTGTCAGTGCATTTCTTAAGAGCACAACTGATGCTATAAAGCAGCGCTACGCTCATAGTATTTATAAAACTACTTCCTAACCTTTAAAATTTGAATTATACTACATTGCATTTTCCCAGTACATATTTCCATCAAACTGCTTTTGATGTCAGTTTAATGTTTATCTAATAGAGTACAAGAATATAGTATGAGAGTTATACTGATGAAATAGATTATATGATAATTTTGTCAAAGAGAAGGGTTTCTTTGTATATGACTAATATATGTAATAATTAATTATTTTACTGCCACTATATAAGATTCTAATCTCCCTTAAATTTTATTAATTTCACTTTGAAAGAATAATGGAAATTACATAGAATTAGACAGAGGAAATCAGCAACAAAGGGAAATTATTATGTAAATCCAGGCAGATTAAATATTGCCTACAATCTAAATATGGGAACACAAGATCTTCATGCATGTCAATAGCTATAAAATTTATACATGTCCCTGCTGTATCCAAAGCCTTGCTTTTGTAAATTCAGAAATTGGAGCTACAACCAGTAATTCTGAGTTCATGATTGTTACCTAGATATTATAGTGAGGTGGACGAGGTGGGGAATGAAGAGAAAACCTGACGTACATTCCTCTCATAATAGCATGAATATTATTTTAGAATGTGTACCATGTCTGTAAATGCACAATCAACCACAATTGAGAATTAAATATTTCTACATGTTTAAATAAAAGAATGATGATGTAGTTTTAGTTGCACTGGACCTGGGCATGTCTGCAGCAACCCTGATACTGATATAGGACCTATGTCCTCCTTTGATTGTCTGGATGGTAATTTAGAGGTGGTTAGGCTGCCAAGTTCTGGAATTCTATTCAGTTCAGTTAATGTACAGCTGAGTCCTGATATAATGGACTTCTCAGCCCTGAGAAACAGAATGACTGTTTGCAAACTATTACAAATTCATTGCATCTGCACATTCCTCCTTCATCTGGAAAATGGGTAGCCATCTCCCCACTGCATCAACAAGTAGATAGCAAGAAAATCTAGGAATGTCCACCTTACTTAAAAGTAAATGGGGTACTACAGTAAGGACTTCCTGGTACCACGTTTTCTGTACTTTAAATCCATTTCTACCTCTCAATAAATCCAGTTAATAAGAGTTAGTCAGAATCTAGTTTTCTTTTTAATTAGTGGCTACTAGGGTCTTGACACTTGTAACATTTCTAGTCAGAGGTAGCCCCATTGAACTCAATGAAACATTTTTGGTAAGCATGAATAGAGTCATGGCAATGCATGAACCACAAGAAAGTACTCCTGTGAAAGCCTTTTTTAAATCATTGGAAATCATATCCATGTCTTTTTTTATCTCCAATACCTCTTGGTGTATTTTGCAAATATACTCAAATAGCTTATTTATATTTTATTTATTTGTCAAATTAATATTTGACTGTCAACAGCTCAAATTTAGAAAACAAAACAAAAGCAAAAAAACATTAATGACTAAAAGAAAAAGAAGCTGGCAATCCTAAACAGAAAATAGGTGTGTTACCCCCTATATGTTCTCTGGAAGAATCCCACGTGCAGCTTATTCTGAAAGGCATCAGACGTAATTGAACTTCTAATGGGAGGCCATTGCAGAATAATATCTCCAACACAGAAAAGAAACATTTCTGGGCATCAACACCCTTAACTTCATGAGATGGAAAATAACCATGTGCTTCTCCTGGTATAATCAAATTGGTGGGGATGATTCCTTGTATTTAACTTGGGAGCCAAATCAGAAAACACATAGTTTATGTATTTTGTTCAACACTTTAAATTGTACTTGGAAGCCTACAGGATGCCAATGCAGGTCAACAGTACACATGTAATGTAATAACTACCATTCAGCATCCATGCCTCTGAATTTTACCGCAAATGAAGCTTCTGGTTCATCTCTGAAGGCAACCCCATGTAGTAGTGTAAATGGGAGATGATGAGAACCTGAAACATTGTAATAAGGTCCTCACATGGCAGAGAGAGCCACAACTGGTGCACCAGATAAAGCTCAGCCAAAGGCCCCTGACCAAGTCTTTCACCTGCTATTGAGCAGGATCCAAAAATCCAGGAGGTTTCCCAAGTGATGGACCTGCTTCTTTGGTGGTAGCTCAACCAGAGGTGGGTTTCAGTTCTGGAGAACTGGTAGCAGAAATTTTGAGTAGTTCAGAGAACTGGTAGTAAAAATTCTGACTGGCCCCACCCCCATCTATTCTCTGCCTCTCAAGTCCCAGATGATCAGGAGGAAATGGGGATTTTGCAGTAACCTTCCCCTGGAGTGGGGAGGAAATGGAGATTTTACAGTATCCTTCCCCTGGAGTGGGGTGGGAATGAAGATTTTACAGTATCCTTCCCCTGCCATGCCCACCAAGCCACGCCCACCAAGCCATGCCATGCCCACCAAGCCATGCCCACAGAACCGGTAGTAAAAAAAATTTGAAACCCACCACTGAGCTCAACCCATCCGGAGTAGGATTATAGGGGAACTCTGATGAACAAATAGTATGTCTGCCTTGCTAGGGTTCAGTTTAACCTTAGTTTTTCCCATCCAAAGCTTCACAGACCCCAAGGCAAAACTTTCAGTGTTTAGTCATACTTGTTACTGTAAACTTGTAGTAAAGTAGCATTAGCAATCATAGCTTTGGTTTCCTAGTCTAGGCTATCTTGAAGGGCTGACATTGGTCTTGCAAATCTCAATACAATATACTTCTCCCCTCCCTCCCTTTATCTTCATGAGAATTAGAGAGGGTCAAGTCCAAGATATTTTCTCAAATTACATTTTTTGCCTCAGACTCAATTTTTTTTTCATTTGACTGTTTTCTTGTTTGTTGCTCTTCCCTCTATTCCTCAAGGTAATTCCTACATTGCAGTTATACAGTTAGTTTTTTGTGTTCAGTTATTTTTACAAAGTGAGTTGGTTTTAACCAATTGCTTGCTGCATAGAGTCATTGCTGTGAGTTGGAAATCCATAAAAATAAAATAAATAGGAGTGAAGTCTGGGCAAAAGTTGTCTAGCATCTCTAGATACAAGAGGGTTCTGAATGTTATATATGGAATTTCAAATTCCAAAATGTACTTCCAAGTCTATTAATATTGGGGGATTAATTCATTTTATTATGAGCAATATCAATTTTTAGAATTATAATTATATTGTTATAACAATAATTAAACTAATAATACCCATTCATCTGAAAAAAAATGCAAATCAATAACCACTCACTTTTACTGCAGCCAAATAGGTTGTGGACATCCAAATTGCTAGCATTGGGAACACAGTTGTCACATTTTAAGCCAGCTGCAAATTGTTTACACATACATTGTCCAGTAATGGGATGACAAGTCCAATTAATAGCTCCAGCAGGATGACAATTACAATGCTGACATCTATAAACAAAAACAAATCATGAAAGTAATGAAAACACATTAACAGTTCAGTTAGACACAGTAGTGCTTAATTCACTGGCTTCTTTTAACTAACATAATTAGTATCACAAATGAAGAACTTAAGAAACTGAACTCTGGTAAGGAAAAACTTAACTATATTTAAATAAAGAGTTGTGTCCCAAATTTACACTACTGTACATTGTTTTTTCAAGTAACCACTGATCTTAAATGGTGCAAATCCATGGTGGATTTGCAAATGTTAAAAACAGTGGAACAGGCTATAGAGACATAAACAGTTGTTCAAATGATCCAGTCCCAAACTATATAAGATTTTGTACATCATATTACCATTGTATTGAAACAGCTACATTGATCACTAGTTGCTTTCTGAGCTCAGTTCATATGCACAATGTTTTATCTGACTAAATGTGGTGTTAAAAATGAGTAATCAAAGATGTGGAATGTCCCCTTGTCTGTTAAATGTATTTACAGATTAAATGTATAATGGTTGCGGTGATTTTAGAAGTATACATGTTGGGAATATAAAATGGATGTGTTACTAACTTTGCTACATAAGCCAGGTCATTGGCCAAGAACCTGAATGATTTGCTATAAATGTTAGATAATTCTATTGACCTGAAAATTAATATTTCAAAGACCAAGGTGGGTTATGTTTTACAAGAGAAATTGCAAAACATTGTAAAGTTATACATAAAGGAAGATAAATTAGACTAAATAGATGAATTTGTGCAATTTAATAGAAATCTCTCTCTCAATGGCTGACGTGGAAAAGGAGAAAAACGACGATCTGGACGTCTGTAAGATGAAGGTAAGACTTTCCTTTTATCTCTTCCTTCCACTAAAATGGAATCCAATGATTTTCCAAACAATGAACCTCCTTGGTACGATGCTGTTGTTAAGCGCCATTTTGATTTCATATCTGCACGCCACTGGCGTAACCACAAGAGACGCCGAGAAGTGACTGCAGAAGCCAATGCTCTAGAAGCAAATTTTGCTGCGTCCAGAGACGCATCCGCAGAATATTCCACAGCAGCAATTAATTTGGCCATATCCTGTTGAAGACGATTATCATGAGTAGGTACTCTGTCCTTCAGCTGCCTGAGCCACACTAACGAAGCTCGATTAAAAAAGGACGCTGAAGTAGCTGCTCTAATTGCCCAGGCTGCTGCTTGGTGGGTTTTTTTAAAAGTTAACTCCGCCCGCCTATCTTCTTGCTTTAAACCATCGCCCGCATCACCAACTAATATGGATGGAGATGTGAGGCTAGCAACCGGTTCATCTATTGAAGGTACTTGTAGGAGAGCATCTAATTTAGGAGATGCACAATAAAGTTTCTTATCAAAATTATTAGGAGCTGATAAAGCACCTGGACGTTCCCAAGGTTTTTGTATTACTTGGGCAAATAAATCAGGACATGGAACAAAATCCAAATCTGCCATAGGCAAAGGAAACAAATTACTTATCGACTCATTTTGATTACCAGAAACGGTAGACTGACCTAAGCCTTGATCCATATTTGTAGCCGCCTTCGCTTTACGAAGGAGCGATTTAAACAATGCAGGATTAAAGAGACCTTGAAAGGCTGGCTTGTCAGCAACCTCATTTTCATCATCTGACATTTCCAAATCTTCTGGATAATCATCCCCTTGATCTGCCAGATCTACAGATTTAAAACCTTGAACTGAATGGTTATGATCAACTCTGGATGAGTGACATTGCCCCATGGATACTGCCGCAGAATCCATTGGTGCTATAGGTAAGCCAGACTGTTGTAGTCCTGCCTGGAAAATTCTAGTAAAAGTTTGAGCCAAAAATGATTGGAAATCTATGTCCTGGCCAGATAAAGAATTTTCCTCAACTCTGAGTCCTGCCGCTGTTGGCGTAAAGGTGGACTCTGGAACCCTTTGGTTTAATCTTTGAATAAATGGTCCTATTTGGCCAGCATCTTGTGCTGCCATGCCTCCAGGAAATTGTGGTATTGTCTGATCCCTTGCTTCTGGGACTTCAGGATTTTGTAAATAATAGTCAGAATTCAGAGTATTACACTGTTGGACTGGGTCTGAATGACCCTGGATTACTCTTACATCATTATCATCACTTAAAACAACTGTCGGCGCTGCGCGGCTTAGCTTTTGTCAAATTGTCTTTCCAGAGCATTATGCCTACGCTGATCTTGTTTTGACATTTTCAAAATCCCTTCTGACTGACCAGATTCAAGATGAGAAGCTTGTGTTGAAGCCTTGGATTTAGCTTTTTTTGATCTTAGTGGCTTGGGAGATGGAGCCCTAGTAGGAGATGGACTCAGATCTAATTCAGAAGATAATGCTCCTTCTGCCATAATCCCTATTAATCAGTACCTTAAATTGATTTGTAATAAGGAAAATTATAAATTAATTTGTAATAAGGAAAAGTAATACTTCCCTGCCAAAAGGAGTTGTAGTTGAATTGAAACATGCAGGAGATAGGACCCAATCCAGACACTGGTGCAGTCCTTCACTTCTTTTTTTCCTTTAGCCTCAATCCTTGAAAGAGGACGTGGTGGAATAATAGCCAGTAACCCGCTCTAATACAAAGACGGTTGGTCTCAACAACAGCGGTTAAATTGGCTGTGCTGGAATCACCAGAGAGAGACCTCAGCTAAGCCGTTTCAAATGCTGCTACAGTAACAGCCTGTTAGCGCTTCATTTCGCTACTATGTAATTAAGTACTTAAAGACAAAAAACCTCCTGCTGACAGAGTTTGCCGGCAAGGCAGGGACTCCAAAGCCGCTTGAAATTAACGAATAATTAGAAGCAGAGAGTCCTTCAGAGCGAGGGCGGTTCTCCCGGCGCGCCAGTTAAAGAAAGAAAGAAAGAAAGAAAGAAAGAAAGAAAGAAAGAAAGAAAAGAAATTTATGTCTTGAAAAAGCAAAAATGTCTGGATGTAGATTCTTGCCTTGCACTTACCAATAACATTTTCTTTGCACTTGCACTGGCCTGAATTTTGGTGACAGGTAGTATCTCCATCAACTGTCCCAGAGGCATTACAGCTACAGAAGCTGCAGCCATCAGGGTTGAACTCTTGCAGATTGTAGAATCCTTCCTGGCATTGATTGCATTGTCTACCAGACACATGTCTTTTGCAATTACATTTTCCTCCAATCTAAAAAAAGATATAAAAAGTGTGGTCAAATGTTGTGCACTTTTCCTCTCTTGCCTTGTGCATACTCATTAGTGAAATGAGTATATTAGTAGGTTAGATAATCTTCAAACAGAAACAGGAATTTGTTTCATGCACTAATAGTTATTCACTAAAAAGAGAACTAGAGAAACAGCAGGATTTTAATACATTCACCTCAAGAAGAATAAGTAGCTTGAGGAGAAAGATGCTTTGATGCATTCCTGAACCACTCCACATATGGGCAGCTTAGTCCTATGTAACTTTCTTAGATGGTTAAGTGCTGATATTTCAGACACCGTGATATATTCCCCAATTTCCATGCTACTTAATTTGTAAGACATTACAAACTAAGATCCATCTCAATCCAACATTGTATTTTTCATAGTAGTCATCTAGATACTTCTATGATACCCACAAGCAAGGGATAGAGAGTTACCACATCCTACTGCTACTTCCCTGCAATTGGTACTTGGAAGTATGCTGCCCTACATCCAGAAGAAAGACTAAATCTTTAAGCAGAATTAACAGGCCTATTTCCAATCAGCTTTGGTGGATAACATCAACTTCCTTCATGCCGTGAATATTTGTATATATCTCAATTGTATCACCATTACTTTTTTCCTAAGCAACGAAGTCCCAAACATTTTTGCTAGAAAACCTCTGGATCAGTTTTGCTACCTTCTCCTGCCTTTTCCTGCACTATTCTTCATTTACTTGAATTGCCTTTGTTGTTAGATTGAATATTCACCCATGTTTAGAGAACTCCTTCTGGAGTTCTCTACATCCCTGACTCATCAGTTATCATTGACAAATTTGGTCAGCTAATGTTATTGGACATCTATGCAGAGTTTAAAAAGGCACCAGGCCCAACGAAGAGCTTTAGGGGACTTGTCTTACTTCTTTCTATTGAGAAAATTGTCCATTTATACATTTTGCTTAACAAACAATAGAAGACACAGTCTCTTATCCCTTGACCTCTAAGGTTGCCCAGACGTTTTGATGCAGAACATCTGAAAGGTTCTTTGAAAGTTCAAATATACAATTTATTATTTATCGATTACTTAGTAAACAAATTTACATGGCTGCTCAATTCATACACAAGTGGCTAAAATTAAAAATCTGAACAAAAATTCCTAGTGCCTCCTTCTTCCACCCTGCAGTGGCAGTAAACACAATTAATGCAATCAAAGCTGATTGGCTCCATATCAACCTACTAAGAAAACTATGTCTTTAGGGCCTTTCAGAAAAGTACAAATAGTGCTCAATTTATATCCACAATTGAGCCCAAATTTTCTGTTGTTAAATGAAACATTTGTTAAGTGAGTTTTGCTCCATTTTACGACCTTTCTTGATGCAGTTGTTATGTGAATCACCACAGTTGATAAGTTAGTAACATGGTTGTTAAGTGAATCTGTCTTCCTCATTTATTTTGTTTGTCAAAAGATTGCAAAAAGGTCAGATGTCCTTTGGACACAGCAAGGGTCATAGGTATGAGTCAGTTGACAAGCTTCTGAATTTTGATCCCGTGAATATGGGGATGCTACAAAGATTGTAACTGTGAAAAATGGTCATAAATCACTTTTTTCAGCGCTGTTGTACATACAGTGTTCATATTTACTAAACACATTTATTGAAAATTTACTGGAATTACATCCTGGATTATAAAAATTTACTGGAATTGCATCAGATGGATTTTTTTAAAAAAAATCCATCTGAAATACCTTTCAGAACACAGTTGTGAATAAAGTGCTTTTATAATAAAAGAAGTATTAAACTGAAGGGTTTTTTTTTTTAATCTATAAGGATAAAACCCATATACTTATTCTCTTGTGGAATTCTGTATCTTCGTTTAAGCTAAATGACATATAACTGGTTCTTTACAGAAAAGCATTGATGAACTGCTCGGAATGGTAAATTATGCAGCAAAAGTGTATTCTGAGCCATTTAAACACACTTTCTTGAAAATTATCCTTGTGACGTGACAATTAATTTTCATGAGCCAGGACCTTATTCCTTACGATTCCATCTTCCATGGGTCAGCCTTGGAAACACTTCCTTCAATAATGCCTTTCTATCTCATGTAATTCATTTCTGCCCATTTTCTCCAGACTTATTAATCTATTTTTAATGCCTCTTAATCATTCTGCTCTATCTTGGTTTTTACTGCTACAGTCTATTTATGCCTTATTGAGCTCTACAGACCTGCCCATTTTTCCTTATTTTCTTCTTTATATCATCTTGGTGTTTCACCTAATTTCTCACTCTTGCTGAGCTTCAGTTTTAAAATTAAACAAAAGAAAAAGAAGAAAACTGTGCAACTGCCTTATTACCTGCAATTAGAACAACTTAACAGTAAGCTATTGTCAATATGGAATAATCAGCAATTAAAACTAGAATTTCAGAAGTAGCATTGGATTTATTTATTTAAAACATTTATATAGCCACCCATTTTGTATCACATCCTGGGTATCTCCTATAAAAACATAAAAATGATTGAAACCCTAAACATTAAAATCAAAAACCCAGTGCCCAATCAAGCTTCCGACATGCAGTCATCTCATCCTTGAAGGATAAGCCAGATCTTCAGTGCTTTTATGAAAGGCTAGGAGGATAGAAGCCTGCTGAACTTCAGTGGGAAGAGTGTTCTCTAGGACAGGGCTTCCACAGAAAAGTCATTCTTATAAGGTGGCAGTTGTTTAAGGGAAGGGACTAGGAGCATGCCTAGCCTATCTAACCTGGTAGGATGAGGAGATGACTTTAGGAAAAGACAGTCCTGAAGACAAATCTGGCCATATGCCATATTTAAAGGTGATAACCTTTAGAAGGCTTTTACCATTGAATTGCACCTGGAAAAAAATGGAAGGCAGTGCAGCTGATGCAACAGAAGCAGTGGTGGGTTGCCCCTGGTTCGGACTGGTTCGCAAGAACCGGTAGTAAAACCCTGTTATTATGATTTTTTACCTTGTATCATCTAACATTCTTATAAAGGCAGACAGACAGGGTTTATATTAAATCCTATTCTCCACATTTATGCTATTTAAGGTACCTGGTGATGGAGAAAATAGTTTTAAAATTCTCACCAAAATTATTGCAATTCTTTTTAAAACAATTTCTTTTATATAGAAAGAAACACAGTTTTTTCCCCTTTCTGAATACATTTCAAAGCCAAATTGTAAAAAACTACTGACAGTATAAGGTAGCTTTCTATTAGAAAAATCCATACACAATGAGCAACATAGGATGCCAGCAATTATAAGCTACATTGCTCTTCTCAAAATATATGCTGTTTCCTAACTTTTTTCAGGTTCTGATTTTTAATGTACTCTATCAATAACCCCTTTTCTAATATATATCCCAATATTTATGGTTCATCAAAACAGTCTTTCCTGAATCATACATTCTTTTCTCAAAAGGAAACTGTCAAGTCAATTTTCTTATATCCATGGGATGAAGTAAGGAAAGTGGGAGTGGACCATCTGGTTCATTCTTTTATAGATACTCTTTGAATGCAATCCTGTACAGATTTATGTAGGTGGGGGCTTCTCTGAAAACAGTAGGACTTACTAATGGCAACATGTATTCAGGCAACCTATTTGTCTTGGCAGGGTGTCAGTCCTTTGAGGTAGGGTAAGTCAGGAAAAAAACTCCACTAGGATTTTCAGAACTCTATTACTGCTGGTTATAATATAGAATGTTGACAGCCTGATAGTCAGTCACAGTAGTGGGTTTCAAAATTTTTTACTACCGGTTCTGTGGGTGTGGCTTGGTGGACATGGCATAGTTTGGTGGGTGTAGCTAGGTGGGCATGGCAGGGGAAGGTTACTGCAAAATCCCCATTTCCTTCCGATCAGCTGGGACTTGGGAGGCAGAGAATAGATGGGAGTGAGGCCAGACAGAATTTTTACTACTTGTTCTCCGAACTACTCAAAATTTCCACTTTCCAGAACTGGTCAGAACCTGCTGAAACCCACCTCTGGTCAGTCAGTCAGTCTGTCTGTCTGTCTGTCCATCCCTCCCGTCTTTTCTTAGGGCTAAATTCGTGTTAATATAATAACTTTAAATTCCTTCTTATAAGAAACTTCCATATTTCTCTAAAGATTGAGATGAAGGCTACAATTATCATGGTATCTCTAACACAGTTCATAAATTCTTTGACTACTGTTATCCCATTTTCACCTTTAAGAATTTGGCAAAACAGAAATATTGAAGTCTAAAATAGTAAAAGAAATTTTCAAGAACTTGGTGAACCCTTCTTCATTTTTTTTTTCAATCTTGATCATGAGAATTAGTGCCAATGGCAACCAATTTAAAGGTAACTTGAGGACAAAGCCACTTACTTTATTGCAAAAGCGACTACCATTTTTGGTGCCTGCTGAGTAACATTCACAGGGTTTACAAACATCCAAAGCTGAGAGATCCGCATCTATATGCCGATAGAAGAAATCATTACATAACTCACAATTTCTTCCTGCAAAAAAGAAAAGGATATGCAATGTAGCTTCCAATTCATGAAAATTAGCTGTATAATTCAAAATTAAATACAATTCCCTTGAGAGAATTATGTAATTTTCAGGACGTCCATTTTAATGCACCTTTCATCTCTACCTGCCAATTTAGTGATCCAGAGCATATGAAACAATGAACCTGTTACAAACTGTGTTTTACTCCATTAAACTTCCATCTGTTACATAACATGACACTCCTATGAAGCTAGGCTGTTGGATACCTATTCTTTAAAATTGGAAATTATTCTTAAACTTCAAATTTTACAATTAGCTCCTAAGAACAAAAGCCAAGAGTACTGAAAGCTCCAAAAAATATACAAAATGATGATTTAAGCAAGGTAGATGTTTTCATGTTTTATAAATGTTCATCATGAAACAAAATAAGCATCCAGTTGTAGGAAATTAGAGAATTCTACTGGTGTTGTCCTGTCCTTACAATAATTCATAGGATCGGAGCCACTTCTGCAAATTCAAGGATCCTTTCACATGAAGAACAGCAGGTCAGAACACACTAAAGTCAACAAAACTGCCTTACAAGAAAGAGGAATTAGTTTGTTCTAGCAGAATTTATACTGCTTGAGAGTATCTATTGTTTTGAGTTACACATAGGGATTTTTCCCAATAGTACACTGAGATTAAAAACAATAGTATTTATTTTTAAATGACACAGAAATGCAATATATCCCTAAATTACTGCCTAATCTCATCTAGTTACTCCATTATAATTTAGTTTGGTTTTGTATTTTTTGAACACCTATCATCTGAACAATCACAGCAACAAGGTCACATTAAAAGGGAATTTGTGGAAAATCATAAATATCACAGCATATTGTTCTTTCCCCTTTATTGGAATGGGCATGCCTTCTTTAAAGTGGCCTCTCCTGATTCAAAGCAAAGTCATGTTATGATGACTTCTGATAGCAATTATGTGTTCTTTATTTCCTTGACAACCATCATAGAGTATTCTGACATTATATTTAAATTATTAAATTAAATTATACTTCATTACTTGTTTTCCATTTATGATGTTTTAACTGAAAGAATTCTTTAAATTTTAATCAATTCTGTGCTGGACAAATCTAGGATCTTGTCTATGCAAAATATGCTTTCCCATATAATATGTATTGTATAATGTATAATTAACAAATACATTCATTTTTCAATGATGATCATGTACATTACAAATAATATACATGCATGCAAATCATGTATAGGAGTTAGTGATACCAGCTTTTATAAGTCTCCAAGAGACTTACAACTGTTTAGTACGTAAGTTTTACTTCTTTCTGTAATGCATGGATTTACACAATAAATACTTGGAAATAATAATAATAATAATGTGGAAATAATTCACATTATAGAATTCTACATTTTATACATCCACCTCTAATTAATGATACTTTGGAAGAGCCAACCACACAGCATCTGCATATGCCTCTGCAAATATATGTGCATTCCACTTGGTTGTAATAATTACCTGAGGTGTTATGTTGACAATTATCACAGATTCCACCACCACCTCTATAATATTCATTAGGAAAGTAATCTATTGTCCTGTTGTAATGACAGCTTACAGCATGGCTAAAACATTGACAAGGTTTGCAATTATAAGCATGAACTTGATCTCCTGGATGGAATGGCTTGTCATTGTACAGTGGCTGACAGCGATCACACTGAAATAGAGAATTAGTCAGAAATGATTGTTTAGAACAGATATATGGATACAAATGCTGTGCGTCCCTTGTTACATATTGACCTGTCTATCATTAATTTTTTAGAGACAGAAGAAAAGAAAAGATGTAAAATCATTTTTAAAAAATGTGCTTTTCAAATTATTTACAGGTAGTCCTCGAGATATGACATGCCATTAAAATTGTATTTTGCAACAGCTGTTAAATTAAGTGTTTCACTTAACAATTCCCCCATCCCTGCTTCCCCCAATGCAATTGTTAAACAAATGTGTAGATTGCTGTGGAACATGGCATGACTCAGAGGTGGGGGAGGCCCTTGGATGCCTAGCACAGCCACAGGTCTGCCAGCCCTGGCCCTCCCAAGGCCTCCCCCAACCCTGAGTCACCCTGTGCTCTGCTTCCTGCCCCTTAGGTCCTCACAGGCCTTTCCCCATTCCCCCCAGGTATTCCCCAATACATGCAAATGCATTTAAATAAGCTTTATCTTACTTGCAAATCTCAGTATTTTTCTTGTTTAGGGTTCTCAATAGCAGAAGCACATCTGGTTGAAGCAACCTTAACCACCAATCCATCTGAATGCTAAGCACAGGATTACTTGAAAACTATCTGCCTAGAATTGCCTAGAATTCTGAACCACAGATAGAATGAGCTATAAAATGTATCACTGCTGCTTTTGAATATTTAATGTTTGTAGCTGTATAATTATTTTTTTAAAAGATTCAGGGTATATGATTCTCCTGCTTAGCTCCCAAAATCTGGTAAATATTACTATAGAAATATCTCTGTAGTACAATTCTCCTTCTCCTTCTCCTTCTCCTTTCTCCTTTTCCTTCGCCTTCTCCTCCTTCACAATTGCATACTATTGTTTCCTCAACCTCCGAGTTTCATGGCAAATTATGAGTCTCAGTAAATAAGCTTGTGTGATTAGAATGCAGTACTGAAGGCTACTTCTGCTGACTGCCGGCTGACTGCAATTTGGCAGTTCAAATCTCACCAAGCTCAAGACTGACTCAGCCTTCCATCCTTCCGAGGTTGGTAAAATGAGGACCCAGATTGTTGGGGGCAGTATGCTGACTCTGTAAATCACTTAGAGAGGGCTGTAAAGCACTGTGAAGTGGTATATAAGTCTAAGTGCTATTGCTATCGTGTATACACATTCTTCTCACACACCAAAACAGTTTTCTGCCATGATAGAATGTATGTACATTCTGATAGATGTACATACCAGTGAATGCACATAAAGAGACATAAACTCTTTAATCACACACAGACATTGTGGTAAACACTGTCTCCAATATAACTAAGATGATGAAATGCTACTTATTTCAGAAAAGACAAATAACACTTCACATATCTACAAAGTAACTGTTTTATTAAATCAGAAGAAACACAACCAACATAGAGATGGGATTGTTCAGGTGGGTTAAAGTTTCCCTTACCCAGCCTTGATTAAAATGGCTTTTTTCAGTAGACAAACATCAATGGTAAACAGAAATCTCACTTGTATAACATAGGAGAAATCCTATTCCTCCCATCCATTACCTTGATAATATTTTTGGAAAGGAGCTTTAAATTGGCTCCCTCCTGACATCAAGATTAGGTTATCCAATATAGAGATGTATCTGAAACTAACTGTAACAGTACACAGAATTTCAAAAGCTTCACAGATAATGGCCAAGAATTACTAATCTGTGCTTTAATAGGGTATGCAGAGAACAAATTACTTCACTAATATACCAGGATTTCACTATTCTATTGGTTTGTAGACACTTGGGAATGTCATGAGAATAAACTTAGCATTCCATTCCAAGAAAAGATCCATATAACTTTTTGTTTTAAAAAGCTTCCATATATGTAACTTCAGTTAATGCAAGTTGGAAAAAGAAAACCAAGCAGCATCTTGTTTGCATATTCAATTTTGAAAAAAAAAATAAATCCAAATTAACCAAGGATCATTGTATGATCTTTTATCGAATTGCTTTAGTGAAATTTGACAGTTTAGACAGAGTGAACTATTCTAAAAGTCCAAACTACTAGAATTAATTTATGTACACAGGGTATGAAATTCATATTTAATTCCCTCAAGGCCATGGTTCACACAGCCATTTTAAATAATACAGAAAGAACCTTTCCTGTTAGTCATTACACAGACTCAAGTCAGCTTCGTAGAATGCTAGTATATTTATTTGGTGATTGTACTTTTCTCTAACCTATATAAGAGCATCTTTAATTTCCTGTCACTATTCTAGCTTGCTTGTCTTGAGGAAACTTTGACAACTTCCATTTTAATTGGCTATTTGAAATGAAGATCTCATGGCTTTTCATCAACTGTGCACAGTAAATTGCATTTCTGTGGGATAACAACCAAATTTTTTGCTAAAGCATTGGCTGCTCTACAATTCTGCGCTCTAGTAGATTGTCTGGGAATGCAGTCTTTCAATATTCAAGACTGCACCTTGCTATTTCAGTAAATACTTTCCACAAATTATTTTAGAAATCGAGGATCTATGGCCTGTGAAATTAAATCAGTTTGCCAAGGATGAGTTCTTAGAGAAACCCATCATTATCACAAAAATCTCAAAAAAAAAAATATTCAAAATTTTTCAGTTTATAAAATTCCTGGTATAATCTAGATTGGCCTTTGCTGTATGTCAGAAATGGTTTGGACAATCCATTTAAAGATATTTATTTTCATTCATGCATACTTTTGTTTTGACAACCACATCTGAAGCATTTTGTTTCATTCAGTATCATTTGAAAAAGATACACCTACATATTGTATCACCCAAAAGAAAAAAATAACTTTGTATATAAATATAGTACTCTTCCGTGGATATGAAGCTCTCATTAAATTGTTAGGCTAAGCAGTTTTTGCTATTTTTATACAATAATGACTACTTTATTAATAAGCAGTTAAATTATGCATGTCATAATATCCATGGTTATAGATATAGCAAAAGATACAGATATGGAAACAGAAATTAAATAGTCCTAACAGAAATTAAATATAGCATGGGTATAGTTGTCATCAAAAATCTTAAACTGCATTTTTATTTGTAGGGAATAATAAACTAACTGTTTACCAAACAGTCTACATTCTGGCCCAGTCTTCCCCACTTCTATGTCTCTAATAATCTAATCAGGGTACCAGCTGGATTTGTGAAGTTCTACTCTCAAAAATCCTCAGCCAGCATACTGGGAATTATGGAACAAAAACTTATATAATTGATGTATGGTAATTAACTTTATATTTGGTCCATCCATAGTTAAAAAAGCAATAAGCCAAGCATCTCAACACACATTTCTTAAAAATTTCTTAAAGCATGTAATTAAAATAGAAATAAATGGTCTGCTTAAGTAATCAAAGCAGAGAAAAACATATCTTCATAAAAGTCGTCATGGTCTGGATTCAAACTTGTGCAGAATGGAACTTGAAGAACTGACATGACCTTACAGATTAAAAATTATTTTTTCATATTTACACTTTATTTTAATTCTCAGCCAAAATCTGCTCTAAAGCTTGCAAATTACTCAAGATTAAGCTGAATCCCAACAAGATGGAATGCTTAAACCAGAAACAATCTGACCATAATACTCTGAATTTGGCCTTGAAAGGAATTTGGCCTTGAAAGGAATCTCCATTATCTGGAGATTCCTCTGCATATAGCAAGGTTAGGCTTTGGCCATGAGAACCTTTGCCCAGTTTCACCTGATGTACCAGCTATAGTTTTGCTTGGAATGTGATGCCTAGGTGATTATCACTCTTGTTTAAATTTACCATAATGTACTCAATTTGAGACTGCCTTCGAAGACTATTCAAAAACTCCAGTTGATACAAAATCCAGCAATCCATTTCACATAACCTATGTGTGTTTCCCGGTGTTTTTCAAAGTACTGTTATGGTTTATATGTTTGGTATCTGCAGAACCATCTTCTCTCAGCAGAGCATAAACTGAGAAGGTATGTTCTAAGGAAGCCCAGGAGGTAAGAATTCAACAACAAGCCTTTTCAGTGTTTGCCCCAATCTGATGGGAATGACATGTCCCTACCCAAGGTCAGAATTAGTCCCTCACTATTGAGATGGGCATGTCCAAGACTTTGAGGCATATAATACCATGTAATTATTTATGTCTGCTTTTATTTTGTGCAATTTAATTTTATTTAATGGATTGGTTTACTGATCATATTAATCTCTATGTATTTATGACTCATATATATGCTATATACCCACACGCAGAGATTCTTATGTATTTATATGTATTCAGGAATGTAGATAAGAAATCATTCAAGTTCTAAAAGCTTAGAATTAGAGCTACATATTTCAAAATTGGTTAGGAAATGGCTTGAAATGTATAAACTGCAATCTGAAATAACGTAATGCATTTTGTTTTTATTATCAGGACCAAAACTGCATGCATTCTTCTATGAAAGAAGGATTATTTAAGCTTTTTAAGTACAGCCACAGTAGATTAACAGTGATTAGAACTGCAATAGCTGTGGAAATCACCAAAAAGAATGACTCCAAACAGAAAATGGTAGGGCACTAATTTAACTTGTTTTCACACAGAATCACGGGTCTCAACAGAGTACTTGGTGAACTCCAGATTATATTAAATATTTATAATTAACTCTGATAAAGTGCCACTTCACGATACTTGTTCTAATTAAAAAGACAGCATCAATTTGCATTTCTAAAAGACTTATTTAGAAAAAAATCATTTTTGTGATGGACCATTACTCTAGCAACTTTTTACAAGTTAGAAGAACCAAGCTGATTTTAGAAGTTTTATCAGTCTTTTAAAAACTAATATAAAACACTTTAAGCCAAAAACTTGCAATAACTTCCTTCAATCTTTTCTGCATGTACACCTGCAAGCTTTTCACTCCTTTTTCAAACTCTTTGGTGTAATTATCCTGTTAAATGCCCTCTCACAAATCCACTGGAATTGTGTGACCATTATACTGGAATAGTGTGATCAAGTTGCTAAAAGCTGGCCACAATGTGTGACAAAGTCTAAAAATGGGAGATGAAATTAGGTTTACCAAGTTTAAAAAGGTATGTGCTATTTCTACAAAAATATTGTATTTTTCTACAAAAACACTGTATTGTGTTTTGGCACTTCCAACGTGCTGGAAAGTGGCAAATTATGCTTCACCAAAAAAGGACAAAATATTCACAATGTGTCATAAATTTGAATATATTCTGCTGCATATGTTTATAAATATTTAGAAAAAAATATTACAATTTAAGCAGGAATATGTGTCTCAAGATAGAGAATAATAAGATAATTAGTTTAAACTGCAGCTGCTGTTGAAGCACTGCTCCAAAGTTTCAGTTTTCTCTTTCTATGGTTATTTAATTGTACTTTGATTGGCCAATTATTAATATATATATATATATATATATATATATATATATATATATAGAGAGAGAGAGAGAGAGAGAGAGAGAGAGAGAGAGAGAGAGAGAGAGAGAGAGAGAGAGAGAGAAAGAGAGATTCTGCTCAATTACTATAACAGACAGGTTTGGTATGCTGCCCCCCACTCCTGTTCCCTTTGTTAAGAATTGCCATCTTGTAGGATCTGGAAAACCTGCTTTCTCTGTAGCAGTGCCTACCTTGTGGAACAACATCTCTCCAGAAATCCAAATGGCCACAAGAGTGGCCTTTTTCTTTTTCTTTCTTTTTTTTTATTGAAAAAGTTTTCAAATACAAGTTTTTCCCCCTTTCCCCCCCTCTTCCCTAACCCCCCCTCACCACCCATCCCCCCCCTGTGACTTCTTCTTCACAACAATAAGCTAATTCATAATTAATTACATAATATTTTACCATGCCCTTACTCACTCCTCAAAGTACTGACCCTTAGCATAATATTCTTATAACTCCGCTTTTCTCCGCTTTTCGCAATAATCTACCCTTTTTCTCCTCCCCCAAACTTATAAAATATTATTATTATTACAACATAACCTTTAATCTTTTATATATATTAATATAACATTTCAAAGCAGCCTTCTCCAAATTTAACATTTATTCAGTTCTATCCAATTCTTCCACTCCCCAAAATATATGACTTAAAAATCCTTTTTCTTAAACTAATCAATCACTAAACTAGCCTATTTCAACCCAGTTTCCTGCAAGATTACCATACACTACAATTCTAAATATAATCCACTGCCCACTCTGCTAAAATATACATATGTCTATATATACATTCCATTTTATAAAAAGAGAAAAGACAATAACTTTAAATTTATAATTCATTTAGTATCTTCTTTGATGTCTTTCCACTAGATTGTTAAATCCATCATCCATAATAGGGTAACATAGCATCCTGGTGCAACAGTTTATTCAAAATCTTCAGTCATCTTCTGCCCCCATCAATAATGAATATCCTCATGTATATATAAAAGTAAAAACAACCACCCGAGTGGCATTATAATTATATTCCATATAGTTGTAATTGTGGTTTTCATCAGGATTATAAATTCCCATCATCTTAGTGGGTAACAGCCAGATCTTCTGCATGCCCCAGCATGACTCTCTTGCCTTGTAACTCAAAATAATTATAATATATTTATCGGTAAAAGAAATCCAAAATAGATAGTTCAAATCCAACAATGTAAGGCTCTTTCCACATCCCAAAATCACGGCATTGCAGAGATCTGCCACTTTCCTCAAGATAGTATTAAACGATAATTCGCCTCCAATATCTTTTCACATATTCATTTATTTTTTAAAATCCCTGGCTTCACTGTTGCTCGGTTTAGAAACTACTATTTCTACGAGATCTGTTTCTTTTCTTTTTCTTTTGCAGGCCTTTTTCAAGTCATTAAAAACTTCACTCTTCCCTTGGGTCTTTGGACCAAGTTGTTAATAAGCAAGCCCTGCTGGTTGATTAGTTTGGTTGTTTTTTGTTTGTTTATTTTTATCAATTGTGAATATGGAATGTTTTTAGGTGTGGAATGTGTTATATTGAGAGTTGTTTCTTTTCTTTTAACAAATTGTATCGGGCTGTTTTTTTAGTTTTAATCCCATTCTCTGCCAAGAGTAACTGATGTGATATGGACATACATGTTGTTTAAATAAAACACACCCACACATGGAAAGACGCACCCACACACAAACAATAGGTTGTAAAGAATGTAAAAAGATTGAAGTAAGAAAGTAAGGCAAGAATTGTTCCTACTCTGACAAATGTCTATTGTCAGATAGTAAATGGACTGCTCTGAACAATCTTAACAGCTCTAAAGATGGATGGATGTTTAGGAGACCCAATCCTGAACAAGAACTCAGAGCAGTCTTCTGAAAAATCTTGGACTTTGTGAGGATGCTAGAAAAAGTTCCCAACAGGACAGAAAAGAGATTTCTTGATAGAGGCTTGCTTCCCAGTCATCAGTCTTCTCCCAAAATGCCCTTTAGCTTCCAGTAACTTCTAATCAACTTTTAACTTGATGAGAGAGGAGTTGGCTAGCAACAAGATCTTTCTCCGCTTTACTTGGGTTAAGACCTGCTATATTGATCATTCTGCATTAAGAACATTTGCGCTGTGGTTATTTAAGGTGATTGTTAGCAATAGCAATAGCACTCACTATAACAGCATTGCCAAAAAGACATTAAAAGTTGTTAACCTAATCTTGTGTAGCTTCTTCTCTGGTAATATTGCACTACTAACTAAAGCATACAAAACATTTGCCAGACCAGTACTCGAATACAGCTCATCTGTCTGGAACCCATACTGCATATCAGACATTAATACAATTGAGAGAGTCCAGAGATATTTCATGAGAAGAGTCCTCCATTCCTCTACCCGCAATAGAATACCTTATGCCACCAGACTTGAAATTTTGGGCTTAGACAACTTAGAACTATACCACCTTCAGTCTGACCTAAGCGTAGTAGATAAAATTATCTACTAATAATGAGTGGCGTAGGAGGCTAATGCCTCCTACTAAGGCAGCATTTAACATCCAGCTGCCTGCAATTACTGCGAGTTCAATTCTCACCAGGCTCAAGGTTGACTCAGCCTTCCATCCTTTCTAAGGTGGGTAAAATGAGGACCCGGTTTGTGGGGGCAATAAGCTGACTTTGTATAAAATATACAAAAGTATGAAGGCTATTGCTTAACGCATTGTAAGCCGCCCTGAGTCTCCGGAGAAGGGCGGCATATAAAAATAAATAAAAATAAAAAAAAATAAAAAAAATCTGCTACAATGTCCCACATGTCAATGACTATTTTCGCTTCAACCACAACAATACATGAGCACACAATAGATACAAACTTAAGGTAAACCGCTCCAAATTCGATTGCAGAAAATATGACTTCAGCAACAGAGTGGTCAATGCCTGGAATGCACTACCTGACTCTGTGGTTTCTTCCCCAAACCCCCAAAACTTTAACTTAGACTGTCTACTGTCGACCTCACCTCATTCCTAAGAGGTCTTTAAAGGGTGTGCATAAGCGCAGCAGTGTGCCTACCATCCCTGTCCTAATGTTCTCTTTTATTTGTATCCATTTCATGTATTCATAATTATGTCTATACTTATATCTGTTATCTAATACACGCTTTACGAAATAAATAAATAAATTAAAATAAATTAAATTAATAAAATAAAATAATAAAATAAAATAAACTTAGACTTATATACTGCTTCATAATGCTTTACAGTCTTCTCAGTTTACAGAGTCAGCATATTGCCCCCAACAATCTGGGTCCTCATTTTACTGTCCTTGGAAGGATGGAAGGCTAAGTCAACCTTAAGCCTGTCAGAATCAAACTTCTGGCAATGAGCAGTGAGTTAGCCTGCAATACTGCATTTTAACCACTGTTCTTCCACAGTTCCTAACTGCTTATAATTAAATTATTCCTATATATAAATTTATTGATTCAACTAAATGAAAAAAAATAATAATTAGGAATTGTGTCTTGCTACTGTAAGTACTGCATGTGGCACATGAGTAAGTACTGTGCAGAGCAAGGATTGTGTACAGGAGAGGGGAACAGCCCCCTTTGGAATGTATGAACTGGAGCTGCCCATGAGCAACAGATATTAAGATTCCAGTACAAAGTGACCATAATAAACTGGAGTAGACAAGATTATTTATATTTTGGTAGAGTTTTTACTGATACTAAGATTTCAATTGTGCCTACTCTGCTTTGTGGGCTAATAAGCACTTCAACCTGCATTTACTCTAGTGCTAACACTGAAGACATGAGTAATTTTGTAGATCTATCCCAGTGAATTATATTCAGTCAAGCATTGCAAGAACAAGAATCCCACATGGCAGTGCATTATGAATGGCTGAACCTCACTGGATGATTGTGTTGCTTTGGGGAAATACTTGTGCTTACACTCTCTTGTGTTAATCTACTGTATGTGAATTTTAGTATCCTTTAGAACAGGAGAACTATAAGACTCATTGTTAGCTGCTCTCCCTAGTCAAGGTCTTCTTTTCTCATAGAGAATAAACTTACTGTAGATAACCAACAAAGTTCTTCCCACTTCTGAACCTCTTGGCCAACCATACCAAAGATTATTCTTTTTAAAATTCCTCCCATTTTGTGAGCAGCATCTAGAAAGCTTCCTGCTGGTAGTAGAACACATTAATGGGATTATCTGAAGTGGCAAGAAACTAAATGGAATTAAAATCCCATAAGCATAATTAATTCTCTCACAAGATTCTAAATCTAAACCTCAGAAGATTTTGAAAATTGAGATTTCAGGTGAAGCACCTATTGGAATAAAACTTACATTGTTGCCTTCTGTGTAGCTTTCCTCAGAGCAGAGACATTTGTATGGACTATGACTTGTGTCACAGTGATCAGCGTGGCCAAAGCAATTACATCTGTAAAACAATAAAGCTTTTGAGAAAGAAAGCAAAACTGACTAGGAATTCCAGAACCTGCAGTACCAATGTACCTGGAGGGCAACATGTTGGATAAGGGTGACATATAATTTGAAAGGGCACCTACCAGTTATTGTTTTTACATTGTCGTGAATGTAACTGTCTGCTTCTGTTAAAGTTAACCATCTCAGAAAAGGCTCAATTAAGTGTAGGAACTATTTCATGTCTCTCTTGATTCAGCATTTATAAATGTCAAATATGTGCTGCTTTCAAAGGGAGTAAATTGACAGGACATCTTGCAGACCAACTATTAAGTGATCAAATGCACATTATGTGCTTTCATTATGTACTGGGTAGATGCAAAACCCTAATTATTAATTACAGTTAACACCTGTGTTTTCAACATTAACCCTTCCATCTGTAATTCCACAACTTCTTAAACACATTATTTGCTTCGATTTATTTTCACAGTTTTTGATGAAACTTTCTCTTTTCGAGCTACATCTTCATGTAACAAGACCTAGAAGTAATAATAATTTTAATTATAGCTTTGTATTTTCCATTAGTGCCAAATTCCAAATAAGGCATACAGCTGGTAACGATATATATGAATATAACTCAACTAACAGCACAAATGGCAATATATTTTATTTGCTTGTTGCAACAAATTGTAGTAGAAGAAAACCTGACAGCTAAAGGTAAATATAGGCTTTAATCACATAATGAAAAATTCTAAAAATTCAGTTTAATTACGTATTTCAAGATAAACAGATAATTCAATCCTTGCTAATGTGAAACAAACAATGTGATGTCTCCATCTGCATTGCTATCTGAATATATAAGTATATCATGGAACAAACCATCCAGTTTGAGTGAATGGGAAAAGCTATTAGAAAGGTCAATTATTATTGTTTACTTCCTCTCTTCCGCTGTTTGTGTTTACAATTGTACAGTCCTAATAAAATTGGTCATGCTTAAATTCCAAAGAAATTAATTTATATTTAACTGCATCTTTCAACTGGCTTTCAGTGAGATTTAAGAACAACTCATTATATGGATTACTTGTTGAGACTATTCTTCTATTGTCAATAGCCCCAAAAACAAATTCACTTATTAGAAAGAGAGCATCTTAGCTTTTCCAAAATTCAAACAGTTAAAACACTTGAAATATTATAGTGAAATTATAATGAATACTGTATTCAAATAATAATAGATAAAATTTGTTCCCTAAGGAAGTCTGGCTTACTGTATTTTTCTCTAAAACATAAATTCCCAAGCGATTAAAAAAAAAAAAATAACACATCTTTCACTGGAGACCAGCCATTACTTAATTTGCATTTTATTTACAGGGTGCAATTATGCCTTCAACCAGACTTGTGACTTACCATATACAATAAGGCTGTCAGTCATAGATAATATAACTTTTTTTTTTGCTGACAGAAGCCTCATTTTTAAGAAGAAAAACTAGCTAAGACAAAGAATTTTGTTCATTACCAAATCCATTACATCTGCCACAGATGAGACACCATAATAAAAATTGAAAATATGGTAGATCCACTTTCAATCAGACATACCTCTCTGTATGAATGATCAAATCCAAAATTTAAGCATTATTGATAAATGAAATAATATTAAAGATGGAAACTAATCAAGCCATCTTAGATTTGAAATTAGTGCTGGAGTGCTATATTATATTAAGGCTGAACAGTGCTTCAGATCTGAAAGTGAAAAATATGCTTCAGAGCTGTCTGCAGTTCCTTATACATATTTTTTTCCTGAGATTGTGTGACAATTGAGGATGGCATGTACAGTACTTACTCCCAGGAAAAGATGTGACTGCTTTCAAGATAGGTAGGGGCCACGGGTGGTATTCACTTACTTTCCTTACCGGTTCGCAAATGTGAATGTGTACACGCCCGGCCTCCGTGCATGTGCTTTGCATGCCAAAAACGTGCCTAAATAGGATGGCATAGAGCCATGGCGGGTGGGCAGGCGGGCCCACCCACAATTTCCACTACCAGTTTGGGCAAACTGATCTGAACCAGCTGAATACCACCTCTGGTAGGGGTTATATTCATATCCCCACTTGTTGCAAAACATTTTTTTTTCACTTTGTGTCCAAAACACTGCACAGCCATAATACTACATTCTCATTTGCATGTATATAATACCATGATGATCTTTTATCCCCAAACTTACTTTAATAGGAACATCATACAACTTACCTTCCACTGATTGTAATTTCATCAATTCCATAGTATCTATGACTAAAATTAACCCAGGGCATAGTAGTGTGATACTGGCCAAATAGATGAATCTTAATTTTTGAGACTTTCACAAACTCTTGAAGTGATGGTGTATTGTAGAAATCATTATATCCTGGCCGATGATTTGGTTCTGGAGTAAGAACACTGAAAGTAATATTTCCATGGGAATATGGAGTATGGCTATTGAAACATAGAAAAAAAAAATGAATGTCCCAACATGTTCAGGGTTTTGAGAGATTGTATGGTTGTTTAAATGTAACAATTTTTTAGTCAGGGAAAATAATGGAACCTGATGTAATTCCCAAGCGCTAGAATGGAACTACGGGCATGGATTTTGTGCCGTTGCCTGAGTTAGCTAGGGAGCCGCCTACTTCTATGTCCCTAACAACCCCTCTCCTTAATCCCCCCTCCTACTTTCCCACACATGAGAAGGTGGCAGCATTGAAGCTTCCAGCCTATGGCTTCCGGCCTAATATGATGACAGCATCATAATTATTTAAAATAATATGAATCCTTGTTTCAGATTACAAACCCTTCCAAGATAGCAGGGGTCTCCAACCTTGACAACTTTAAGACTTGTGGACTTCAACTCCCAGAATTCCTCAGCAAGCTTTTCTGGGTGTTGAAGTCCACAAGTCTTAATGTTGCCAAGGTTGGAGACCCCTGGAATATAGACTACAATAAAAAACAATAAATAGTCAAAACTAGTGAAAATAAAACAGTTGGCTTTTTAAATACTATTTTCAAAAAGTTGACATTCTGCCCTGAATAATTTAAGCAAAGTCCATAGCAATGGGAGTCTTTAGGGTTTTGTCAACTTACTTCTCTCCTAGCACATTCCAGAGGTAAGAAGCAACAAGCTCTATTCCCTTGTGTCTTCCAATCTGACTAGCTTCAGAGAAAATCCTATTGCTGACCTTAGAGATCTGATTGTTATGATGTTGCAAACAGAAATGATCCTTCAAATAACTTTCCCTCAAATTGGTTAAAGAGTTAAAGGTTAAACATATTTTAAATGTAGCTTGGAAACACGGTACAGCTGGCGCAACACAGGTATCCCATAAACCAACTGTTTTCCTCCCAGCAACATCCAGATGGTTGCATTCTATACTAACCAAAATTTCTGAATAATCATTAATAGCAGGCCAATAGTGTATTATTGTCATTTTCACTGGATGTCACTTGTACTTACATAACTGGGTCAACTTCTAATTACTCCAGATAGAATCATAACTGATTTACCAGTTTAAAAATTATGTGGACCACTACTGCTTCTAGGTTTCTTCAATAAAGGACAAGTTCAGAATTCCCAAAGTATACACATGATCATTTACCAGAAATGCAACCTCATATAATAATTATGTAAATCTTCATCCTGAACTGTTGGTTTTGCTATCCCCAATATTAAACAATCTACCTTCCTATTCTTATAAACTTTTAACTGAATTGTTCATATCTATTCCCAAACTCCCTCCATTGCATTCAAGAGACCTAATGAAAGCAGAATTTGAGCTGCATCCTGATGGGACTTCATTCAAAACATATCATGGAGCTATAATTTTGTGATTCATAACAAAAATACAACTGGCACTTAGTTAATCCACTAAGACTAAGTGGATCTAGTTCTTTTTTTTTTTTTTTTGAAACAAGTTTTTTTTATTCCCCCCCCCCCCCCACATTCACCCACATATTTTATGAACAGAGTATTGGCCATATCATAACTTATACAATTTATCATATTCAAATACATTTTACTCAGTAACAATTTTTGCCAAAATTTCCTTTTTCCATTTTTTAATCGTGTCTTAAAATTTCTATGCTTATTTGTATAAACAATATCTTTATTTGCCCTCAAATTCTAATTTTTCTGTTTTAGCTCATATTTATTCTCTTTTATTTTTTAATAACTCATTCTTTATCCTAGTACATTTATACATGTTTGGGGTTGCCTTTCTTCCATTTCATCTTTTCTATTGTACAGCAATCTTTCTTCTCAATCTCTTCCACTCCCTCCCTTCTTTCCTTTCTACTTTCTTCTTCTCTCTTCTCCTACTCCTTCTCTACTTCCCTTCCTTTCTCCCTCTCCTCCTCTCTTTCTCCCTTTCTAACCTCTCTCCTACTCTTATTTCCCCTCCCTTCCTTCCTCCCCTCTTTCCTTTCTTCCCATTCCTCTCTCTCCTTCTTCCTCCCTTCCCTCCCTCTCTTTCGTCTCTCTCTATTGCTGTACAAATCTAGTTCATTTTAAGAGTTCTCCAAATACTTCAGGGAAAAACAGTAATTCTTCCCCTGACTTCTATTGTTTGCAATAAAATCAACAACTCTAATCCACATCTATGGGAAATAACAGCATATCTTTTTCCTTTGTCCTCACTGAACTGATCAAACTGCCCTCAACTCATACTTTCTATAAATAGGACTCAATAACATGGTATTTAGGGCAGATATACAGTATGAAAGGGTTTACTTACTAATGTAGAAGCAAGTTTCTGATTGTGCAGCCACCTGCTTTATAGAACCACACAGTTATTTTTAGAAATATGCATAAATTTTTGAAACATTATTTTTATTGGGGTCATGCAAATCTGAAAAGGATGTTACATTTAATTTGGGTGCCAATGAGCATGCATGTGTAATATGCCCATATTTGAAAATGTTCGCTATATATTGATCCACAAATAGTACAAATTCATTTTTGAGGAAAAAACCAAGTTTTTGGAGGAATTATTGTTAAATGCTACGGAATCAGTAGTGCATTTGCATGCCTATGTAACAGTATACTCTTACAAAACTGAAAAGTATTATTTCATTCAACCCAAACTAGTATACATTTTGTCTCTTTCTGAAAAGGGTATCATTCCTATGCAAAATAAACTCTGCCATCCCATTTCAGTTTTTTAAAAAATCTGCCAGTATATATTTTCCATAAATCCTATCGTCATAGGTGTTTGGTTCTTCAGATCATCACTTACTCCCAGTAGGACAAACTTAGCACTGACTAGTCAAAACCAGATATAAAACATATGCCAGAGAAAATTATAAATAAACATAAAAATGACTAATTTCCATATATATTAAAATTATTTTACTTGTACTAAAATAATTCTATTTAGACTTGGGAAGGAATCTAATAACTTAGATTCCTTTCTTGTGATTTAATTCACAATTAGGATGTAAATCCCTACAATCAACTTTGGCTCTTGGTGACCTCTTGGGTGTGTCCTATATGGAATTGTTTTGCCATCTATTACAATAAAATATGAAGACCTTTCTTAGACTTAGAATAACTTCCTTCTTAGGAGATATGAAAATGAATGGAAACTTAAGTGCATTCTTATCCTTTAATGAATAGTTCTCTACTATAATTTGTTTACAGATAAACACACACACACAAAAATCCAAATAGCTTTATATGGCAAATGTGCAAAGCATTTTTTAAATATATATTTTTCCCTGATCAGCAAGTATTTAAATCTAGGAGAACAAGTCAGATATTCTGTTAATTTTAGCTTTAAAATCACAATGGTAGCTCATTTCCAACAGTTAATTCTATCTTTGGTACTTCAAATGTATGTGTGTTTTTGGGGTAGGTTTTTTTCAATTAGGTGTAACTTCCCTATGCATCACTTTGCAGTATTGTTTGTGTCATGGAATTTGAAGGAAAGCACTGTTCCATCATAAAACATTTCTAAGTAGCACAATTTCACACATTAGCACTTGCACTTTTTTTTGAAGATGCACTATTTCATAAGTTGGGCTGTTTTTAATATACTTTTAACTATTTACCAAAACATTACCTTTTGCTGAGCTAGTTAATGCTTATAATGTTTGCTTCTTTCCATCCCTTTGAATAATATGAACGCCAACTATGTTTTGCTGAATATGAATGCACCTTCAACAACCCCTTACTCTTCCCCTCTATAGTAATGTAGATGTGTGAAAGTCCAGAGAAAATGCTGACACTTTTAATAGCCTACCTGCCAAGCTTGAAAAGAAGGGGGATGGAAGAGAGGGAGTCAAACAAACAGCAATTGCACCTGGTGGAATGGCCCCTGATGGGTTTTCAGACAAATCTTACACATTCCTAATGCTGAGTGTTTTCTAAAATGTCCTAAGAGTTGGTGCAATTAGAGAGTTATAGCTAACGGCAGACTTTAAGGGAAAAAAGCAAGCAAGAAAAGCTTTATTATTTACTTATGCAAAGCAACACTCTTGTAAAAATTCTAGAACAGTATGTAGCTGCAGAGATGTTGTTTCTTTAGGCTATGCTAATCATTCACAATTCTCAAAAGTGAAGAGATGCACTTACCAAGCTAAAGGAAGGCAAGCATTTACTATGCAGTTTTTGTGCAAATCACTCTCTCTTTCCCCACCTTTTTTTTTTTTTGACAACACAGTAAGTACAAAGTAAGTAAATACCTTTTCCCCATATTGCAAGCTTTTCTTGTCTTTAAAACTATCCACCTTTAAAGACTTCTCACAATCAATTTTTCAGTTTATTTACTAAAATATATGCCGTGATCTGTTGGAATCCAGCAAATGCCATTTGGTTTTGTAATAATTTATGTAATACCAAGGGTGTCAAAATCAATTTCATTGAGGGCTGCATCAGGGCTGTGATTGACTTTGAGGGGCCAGGTGGGGCGTGGCCAACTGGGTGGGTGTGGCTGACTGAGTGGGCACAGCTGACTGGGTGGGTGTGGCCAGCTTGATGCCACTCCCCAAACTGCTGGCATGTTTCCTCTTTGCATTGGATAGACTGGGCCGAAGCGATGTGGGCCAGTCCCTTACATTTTCCAGAATGGCCCTGCGGGCCGGATACAACCACATTGCGGGCCTTGTGTTTGACACCCCTGTGTAATACTATTAATAGTCACTGTTAAATATCTTATACATTCATTCATCTCCTTATTATTTTGGAGCCATTTACTTTTTTTTTTTTTTTAACGAAAGGCATACTTTCAGAAGACTTGAAAGTTGTTATCAGATTATCTTAATAATCTATTTCAGTTGAGGTAGGAAACTACTGCTTTGGGTAGTATGCTGAAGACCACATTCAAAGAGTGGGGCTAAGGAATGACCAGGTACAATCAGGTGAAAAATACCCTATATATTAATACAGATAGACCTTGCTTACTAACTGCCTGCAATAACCATTTGAAGTTATGATAGTGCTGAAAAAATAACTCTGCAATCAAGGTACACATTTTACAACTTTTACAGTTCCTCAGTCATGTGATCGCCATTACAGTCAGCATGCACTATCCTACTGCTGACCTAATGTTTTTCTCTTCTTCAGTCCCTTACACAGCAGAGAGATTGGAGAGGAAGGGATTACAAGAGAGTAAGCAGGCACACAATGAAAAAACACATCAAAAACAAGCAGACCCAAATGCACTATGCAAACAGCCAGTGTATTCTCCACTGTCTGTCTACTTATTCTCCTGTAATTTCTCTCTGCTCATACGGAGGAAAGTGAAATAAATGGGTCAGGAATAGGAGAGATTGCCTAAAGGTATTGCTTTGTTTTCTCTCTCTCTCTCTCTCTCTCTCTCTCTCTCCCTCCATTCCCCTATTTGTTTAAGCAATTTTTCTAGTTTGCGGGGATGGAGAAAACAAGTGATGTTATATATGTATATTGGTGCATGTGTTTGGAACTTGGAAAGAAAAACACTCTGCTTTCAAATGGTTTGCTATGAAAATATAGTTGTGTGCCTGTGTCCCATGGCCTAATAATCAAGGTGGAATTTTATGGCCAAGGTGGAATTGTAATTTTCATTTTCTCTGGTCAAGAGCTGCAGTCTTTGCCAAGATCAGGCAATACAAACTTTGGAAGCATTCTTGAAAGTAATTTATGACTATAGCCCTCAGACACTTTAGCACTTAATTTGCAAATAATCACACTGAAGGAGGACTTAATTGCGAGCTGCTGCTGCTGCTCCTATGAGATTCAAAATATTCTAGTCCAGCATAGAAAATTATTTAAGGCTATTGGTCACACTAGGAGATTCAGAAGCATGTTTTTGAAACTTCTTCAAAACAATTTGGGGGGGGGGCAATTTCACACGATTGCCATAGCAAGGCTAGCCAATAATTTTATTTATATATTTTTATTTATTTTGGAATCACCTATCTCCGTCACAGAGGGACTCTTGGTGGTATAAAATAAAATACTAAAATATAATCACAGTATATAAAAGTTAAGATTTAAAAAGAAGCAAGAATGATTAAAAACGCTGCTATAAGTTAATTAAAAGATGAAGAATGGGCTTGTTCCTTTGTGAACCCCAGGCAAGAGCCATGATTTCACACCTTTTCAGAAGGCCAGGAGACTGAATATTCCCATGGGGGGTCCCTTCCTGGACCCTGACAGTCAGAACTGTTTAACTGACAGGGTCTGCAACATAACTTTCCTGCCTGATATAATGGGACAAAGATGGTTCTGTAAGTAGTCAGATTCCATGCTGTATAAGGCTAATAATGAAATACTTAATTAATAAAACAGTTGAGGTTTCTCTCCCTGCCAAAAATAATAACAAACATAAATGTCAGTCTCTCAGATGTGCTTAGTTTCCCCATTTTACTTTTTGTAAGACACATACACACACCATTTACTTACTTACTTACTTACTTACTTACTTACTTACTTACTTACTTATTGGGATAAATAAGCCATATGGGAAATAGAAAAGCATCTGCTAGTTTATTGTTACCCATTGCACTATGTTGTCTGTGCAAGTATAAGATTTCAGTAACTTGATTCAATATAAGCTTGTTCATACCTAGGAAGCTGTAGACAGTTTATGGAATCTGGATATTGCAGCGAACCATTATTCTCCATTCCAAACATACTACAGTCCCTTGCAAAGTATTGCCAGTCTTCCCAACCAATGGAGGGTTGCTTTTTTCTTTGTATTTGGATTGCTTCAGGCTGAGGGCTGAAGAACTGGATTATAACATAAAACACCTGCAAATGAACAGCAAAATATGAACTGATTTGAAAGAATCAGAAAATGCAGAATCAGAAAATGTAAAGCAATCTTTAAGGTCATATGTAAAATCTCCTGAAAGTATATCTGATCTGACCTTTTACTTTGTGTTGTAGGGCCTCCTGTGAAAGAGAAGTCAACACATCATATGGCAGCCTGTTTCCACTGCCAATTCTTCCTGACATCTATGCTAAAGCTACTTCCTTGTAATTTTAACTCACTGGTTCTGGTTCTATTCCTCAGGCCAGCAGAAAATAAAGCCAGTCCCTCTTCTATGTGACATACCTTCAGCTATTTAAAGACACTTTTTAGGAGGGGGCAGTTAACCATTCTGACATGCAACTCAATTAAATGAGTCATTTCCTCATTTAAAGGAAACCAAGAAAACATCTCGGACACACATGTGTGTGTGTATGAGTGTGAGTGTGTATACACATACATACACATACATACCAGTGGTGGGTTGCTACAGGTTCGCCCCGGATTGGGTGAACCGGTAGTGGTGGGGGGGAGGCTCCGCCCACTTGCCTGGACGTCTCTGCGCATGTACAGAAGTGTCACACATGCACGCGTATCCACGAGTGAACCAATAGTGACGAGATTTGAAACCCACTGATACATACATATACATACATACATACATTCTTGCAAACATAAGTTGGATGATGTCATCAGTTTTGTAAAATAAGCAACACGTCTTTTACTTTCCTGAAAAAATATATTTCCACAACATTCAACTCAGGTAGCCTGGATTCATGTGACTGATAGTGGACAATAGTACCAATGGAAGAACATATGTAATTTTATATGCTATTTTTGTTTACTGAACTACAATATGTGATATCAGTGGGAAAATCAGATCTTTGACTATAGGAAGTGGAAATGAAGGACCATCACAAATGTTTTTGTTTTTGTTGTTATTATATGTATCAAACACAAAAACATTATGTTATTCATAATGTATTCCTTAAACAATTTTATAACCAGAAGGAGCTATTCTGGAAAAGAAAATCATAGGCTATCACAGAAAAACTTTCCTAAAGTTAACTACCAACAAAGGATCCAAGTGAAAGTAATACCAAAGCAGGAGGTTCCTCAGCTGTCTTTCTCCACATAATTCTACTCATATGTTCAATTATCGTAACTGAACTCTAGTGCTTTATATTCTTGAGCATTTATTATACCCTATGCTATTGGTCTGTGCTCAGTCTACCTTTTTCCATAACAACTGGGTTCTTATTATTAAAATAGAGGAAGTATTTTTTTCATATTTCACAAGTCGCAACCTAGTATGCCTCTTATACAAAGCAAAAAAAAAGGAATATATATATATATATATATATATATATATAATATATATATATATTTATTTATTTTTTATTATTTATTTATTTATTTATTTATTTATTTATTTTGATTCATAGGTATAAATGTGCGATATTTTTGCAATCAGGTTTTTTCCTATGTTGAAAGATGTTAAAATGGCCATGGTGGGATGAAATCTCTATTCATCACTTTCAGACCTGTCAAACATTTTATGTTGTTTCTTCTGTGACTTATGGGAGACTGGGATAGCACTATTTCGGCCTTTTTAGACCTCTTCAGCCAGACACACCCATATTTTGTGACTCCTCCCTGTAGAGGTCAAATATTTATTTCTTTTGATTCATAGGTATAAATGTGCGATATTTTTGCAATCAGGGTTTTTTCCTATGTTGAAAGATGTTAAAATGGCCATGGTGGGATGAAATCTCTATTCATCACTTTCAGACCTGTCAAACATTTTATGTTGTTTCTTCTGTGACTTATGGGAGACTGGGATAGCACTATTTCGGCCTTTTAGACCTCTTCAGCCAGACACACCCATATTTTGTGACTCCTCCCTGTAGAGGTCAAATATTTATTTCTTTTGATTCATAGGTATATGAAAAAACCCTGATTGCAAAAATATCTCATTCACAAGCTTCTGGGCTTTTTTTCTGTTGACAAACTGCAACTCTGTGTTGCTCTCTGGGAGACTCAGATAGCTATTTCTGCCTTTTAAGGGGTCATCAGTGAGCCACAAAACCCACTTCTCAGAATGAGAATGAGATTTCACAGAACCAGGGCTGCAGAACAACTTAGTTTACGTAGGTAAAACCTGGCTAGAAAGAATATGCACATAAAAGCCTACAAAAAAGAAAAAACACATTGTACCTTACAGGGGAATATCTGAGAAGTGGGTGTGGCTCACTGACGACGCCTTAAAAGGCAGAAATAGCTATCTGAGTCTCCCAGAGAGCAACACAGAGTTGCAGTTTGTCAACAGAAAAAAGCCCAGAAGCTTGTGAATGAGATTTCACAGAACCAGGGCTGCAGAACAACTTAGTTTATGTAGGTAAAACCTGGCTAGAAAGAATATGCATATATATATATATATATTCTTTTTAATTCATAGGCTCAAATGTATGATATTTTTGTAGTCAGGGTTTTTTCCTATGTAGATCAAGTTGTAAAATGACCATAGAGGGATGATATCTCCAATCATCACTTTCAGGCCTGTCAGACATTTTGTGTTGTTTATTCTGAGACTTATGGGAGACTGAGATAGCTTTATTTCGGTCTTTTTGGACCTCATCGGCCAGCCACACCCATATTTTATGACTCCTCCCTGTAAAGGTCAAATATTTATTCTTTTTAATTCATAGGCTCAAATGTATGATATTTTTGTAGTCAGGGTTTTTTTCTATGTAGATCAAGTTGTTAAATATTTGACCTTTACAGGGAGGAGTCATAAAATATGGGGTGGCTGGCCGATGAGGTCCAAAAAGACCGAAATAGTGCTATCCCAGTCTCCCATAAGTCTCAGAATAAACAACACAAAAGTCTGACAGGCCTGAAAGTGATGATTGGAGATATCATCCCACTATGGCCATTTAACAACTTGATCTAGGCTGAGTCAACCTTGAGCCTAGTGAGATTTGAACTTGCAGTAATTGCAAGCAGCAGATGTTAATAACAGTGCTTTAGTCCACTCTACTACAGGCATTGATATCCAATGCATTCCGATAACAAAATCCAATGCATTCCCATAACAAAAACTAAACATTCAAGATTCTAAAATGCACACTATTTTTTGACAAATCAGATCCTATTTCTGAAGCAAAGTACCCTAAGCCAAAGGTTTCTTCATCCAGCACAGAAGCGTCTTGTAGACTTTGGAACTGCCAACTGATGCTTCAAGGTGATAGAAAGATTTTTTGTCAAAGCAAAAAGCATTGTTTTATTCAATGTTAGAAATTGCAGTGGTTCCAATGTACATTTTTGTACCTTATCCATCATTACAAGATTCCTAAACTGTGTTTGGAAAAACCCAGAATTCTTTATATTTATCATACCACTTCACTGAACCTTCAGCCAGGCTTCCATGAATAATTGGTTGTTTACCAGTACCAATCTGCTATGCAACACTTAATAAGCCATATGTTGAGCATCAAGGTTGCATCCCTTGCAATCTTGTGTGCACATAAGAAATTCCCAGAATTATGAGATAGGAATTCCTGAATACACAGAAAATATTCAAAGAGCTAAAAGTGGTTTAAAAAAATCATTTAGACTATGTAAAAAACATTTAAATTCCTGAATAGGAAACAAAAAAACATGAAAAAGGTATATGTTTACTTTTTGTGTATGTATAACTTGACTCCTAATGATTATGCAGAGTCCATACAAAAGTCCATTCAATTTTCTTGCTAACATTTTTTAAAAGTGGTTTGCCGTTGCAGGTAATCCTCAACTTACAACAGTTCATTTAGTGACCATTCAAAGTTACAACAGCACTGAAAAAAAGCACTGACTAATGAGCATTTTTCACACTTATGACCGTGGCAGCATCCCTATGGTCATGTGAACAAAATTCAGACGCCTGGCAACTGATTCATATTTATGAGGGTTGCAGTGTCCCGGGGTCATGTGATCATATTTTGCGAACTTCTGCCAAACAAAGTCAATGAGGAAGCCAGATTCACTTAACAACCATATTACTCAGTTAATAACTCAAGAGATTCACAAAACAAAACAACTACGGCAAGAAAGGTCATAAAATGGGGCAAATGGGACATTTAACAAATGTCTTGGTTAGCAACAGAAATATTGGGCTCAATTGTGATTGTAAGTCAAGCATTACCTGTACCTTCTTCCAGTATTTTCTTCATCCGCACTTGGCTTTATTCATAAAGCCGGACTAAAACTCATGGTGTTTTGTTTGTAGCCCAGTGACTTTAACTACCACACCAACCTGTTTGTCATGTGTTTATCTCCCAAGAGAAACCAGCTGATATCAAAATAATTAACTAAGAATATATATATATATATTAATTGATCCTTATTTCATTTGGAATAGCCTTGATTTTTTTTGTTAATTAATGAAAACAGAAGATAAGAAAGGAGAACTTTAAACTTACCTGATACTGTCCATTTTCTAAGTCAATGGTGATGGTTACTCCATGACGTAGATGCTCAGTGGTGCTAAATATAGATGAAATCCATGTAGTTCCAATATCATTATCATTGACATAGCTTAAAGGGTGAGCTTCAGGGTTTAGTCTGAGCACTCTGTCATTAGTTGTGTCATCTGCACCATTAGGAATGCAATACCTCTGAACCAAAGGATGTACCCTTGGGTGACTTCCAGGACAGCGACATTCTGATTGAATACGAAGTTGAGGAAATTTTCCAGACCATACTTCAAAAACGTCTCTAGAATAATAGAAATAAATAAGAAATCAGTAAGGCACATCACAAAGAAATGAGCAAGGGTGATTTTTAAATGCCTAGATACAAGATTATGCACAAATGTCCTATCCAAGGACTTGACGATAAAACCATCAGACTGGTAGGCACAAAAGACACAGACTTCTCAACTGTGGCCCAGTTTTTACTGAAGGATTTTCTAATGGAAGGTAATTGATCTTTCTTCTAACTGTTTTCAAGCAGGCTTTAAAGAACTGTTTTTAACTGAAAAGCACAGGTAATCCTCAGTTAATGATAGTAATGGGGACCAGCATTTTCTTTGTTAAGCAATGCGATTGTGAAACACGATGTCATGTAACTGCAGTTCTTAGCAATGGCAATGTGGGCATTCCCCATTACTATCATTAAGTGAGGATGGCAGGTGGTTAAGCAAGTCCCAAGTGGATTGCAAGCAGGCAGGTAGCTCAAAGTTCAGCATGTGGTGCGGGTGTGGTGGGGTCAGCTGCTGCCAAGTGTGAGACAATTGCCAAGCTTTCAGATTGCTACAATATCATGTAACTGCAGAGGTGTTATGATGGCTGGAACTTTTATCACTGTTCATAAATCTCCTTTTTCAGTGCTGCCCTAATTTTAATGGCGTTAAGCATGGAATACCTGAAAATTCAGTGTTATTGTGCAAATAATCATTTAAACTTTAGTTGTCCTTTATTGTATTTCTTGGTTTTCATTGAAAAATAAGTTGGGAATTATTCTTTCACTCAACCATATTTTAGATTTGTTGCTTATTAAGTTATTAATTTATTTATTCACTTTTAATGAAACTTTTTTGAGAAGTTTCATTATCTAAAAAGAGCAGTATAAACAAATTTAAATAACACATATCAAAAATATATTAATACAGGCAGTTCTAACATGAATTTGTGGAGAAAAAAAATATGAATAGGAAAGGAGATATATTTTGCTACAAATGTATTGCTATGAGTCACTAATCGCTGGATTTTGAAAAATTAATATTTTCAGTAATGCAATACCACAGTAACGGCACACAAAATAACCCTTCAAAGGCATTTCAATCATTTATTATTTTTTTATGCTGTATGATCTTCAAAGCTCCACACCACAGTATTATGGAAAGTGCTTTCCATGCCTACTATAGATACAGATATCTATTTAATCTAACCTATTTCTTTTGCTTATAAAATGTAGCATTTTATAAGAGAGGGAAGGAAGGACTGTATAAAAGTTCTAAAGGCAAACATAGGTTTTCCATGTTCTTCAACAGTTAACTGTGTTTACAGTGTTTTAGTGTGCATGTTTTACATGAGAATTAGGGAGATGTCATAAAGAAATCAATTATGCTTTAGGAAAATCTCGCAACATATGGATATTATGTGATTGGTGTACAGGGGCTTTTGTTTGTTTAATTTCTTGCTTAATATCTTGAAAGTACAACTGCTTGAATCCATGCAGCCAATTAAAAGCCTTCTTTGCATTCAGGTTGCATGAAGTTACAGTTATACATCCAATGACTTTATAAAAAAGCCCAAGAAACCACATTATCATAGTTACATCTTTTTAATCTTGATAATTGCATTTTTAAGTTTTGTAAAATTGAGAAAGTCCCTACCTGTTTGTAAGGGCCATTTGGTACAATCTGAAATCTTGCATCCTCCCGACAAATTGCTCTGAACCTGCAAAAATACATTATAAATAAATAATCCAGTTCCATCAACCAGAAAACAACTCTGTGCTGCTTGAGGAAATCTTAAATTCAGCACACAGAGCTCTCTCTTGCACAATTACCTTTTCTGAATGAAACCATCTTGGTTCCGGACAAAACTATGGAGGGCAGTAACTTAATTCTTTTGATTAAAATGATTTATAATAACTTTATGGGAACATTTTGTACCTATCCCTTATCTGATTACAGAGGTGGCAGAAAAACTGGCTCATTAGACAGAAGTAATGAGCCAGTCCATGTGCCATCTCTAATTAGAGAAGAGATATACTGGAGACAACTGTAGCTATCACTTTACGTGATAAAAATTAAAGGTTTATTTTTAAGATTTCTTTCTGTCGTGCATAAGGGTTCTGAATCTGGTATTCAAAATAAAAGTGCCAAATAGAAGCATTTTGAAACGAGAAAACTTTCAACTTTTGATGTATAGGAGCTCAGTGGTTTTTGAGAATAAATCAAACTTTCTTCAGGCCAGATGCAGATATATTTAGGACTCAGCTCCAAATTACAGTTTGTTCTGGATCAGTGATACTCAGCCTTAATAAATCTGCAGAACCAATTCATCACCAAACAGAATTTCAGGGAGCTGCAAAATCACTGAAACCTTATATTGACAGCCATGGTCAGAAAATTGGGGGGGGGGGATTAAATCTCATCATCACCAAATATTCACTCAGGATGACTTCAATACATTGGTATTCCTGAGACATTTTTCCCCCTTACTCCTTTTCCTTAGTTTACCAAATGAAACTTTCCCAAAAGTTTTAATATTGTGTTTTTAACCAACACAGGAACTTAAATTTCTTATTGCAGAAACAAAAACAGTTTACGATCCAAACACTAGAGAAAGAAGAGGAATGAAGGTCTAGATCTTAGATGGCCAAAATCAGTAAAATCACATATGTGACAGTAGCAATAGCGCTTAGATTTATATTCTGTTTCACAGGGCTTTACAGCGTCTTTAAGTGGTTTACAACATCAGCATAATGCCCCCAACAAACTGGGTCCTCATTTTCCTAACCTTGGAAGAATGAAATGCTGAGTTAATCTTGAGCAGGTCAGGATTGAACTCTGGCTGTGGACAGAGTTAGCCTGCAATACTGCATTCTAACCATTGTGTCATGTGGTTAGAATGCAGTCACCATGACAAGATTTTATTTCCATAATCTATTATTTATCTTCTAAAAACTCATGATTCTAACCTAATCTCATGTAAAGAGCACATTAGAATTCAAAAATAATTCAGTTTTGGCTTTCCAACAATGAAATCTTTATCCATGGAAGGATGGCATACTTGTTCTATTCACTCTTGTCCATTCCTTAAGTCCAACATCCAAGCATCTCTCCAAATAAATTCTTCATAGTCTTGAGCAAGCTCTACTTTAACTTGGTGAAGTAAGGTGAGTTCCTGAGCTACATTACCATGCTATTGATGGCTACTAATGGGAAAAGTGAGAGCCAGTTTGATGTAGTGGTTAAGGCATCAGGCTAGAAACCAGGAGACTCTGGATTCTAGCCCCGAGATAGGCAGAAAGCCAGCTGGGTGACTTAGGACAATCACATTCTCTCAGCCCTAGGAAGGAGGAAATGGCAAACCACTTCTGAAAAACCTTGCCAAGAAATCCTCTGGAATTAGACATGATAGAATGAAAGAAAAAAAAAAGGGAAAGGTCGTTTATCCAATTATAATTACATTAAAGTAACATTATAAACAGATGCACTGTACCATATGCAGTGAGTAAAGTGCATGATTATGATTACAATGAATGGACTGTATGTTGCAGCAGAATGACTTGAAAAAATTCGGACTTAACAAAAGTTAAATCCAGTTACATACGTTTCTGTCATTTGTCTATAGTAATTTACAAAATAGAAGGAATAATGTCGGGATAGAGAAATATGGATAAATTGAAAGTTGGAGAATTATTATGTTAGTATTAAGGATAGGTAGGAATTGTATTAGTATTTAATGTAATTTCTACAAACGAAGAGATTTACGTAGCTCGATTTTGATAGATTGTACAAAGGTATATATGAAATATGAATTGTAGTTGTTATACGGAAAATATGATGGAAATGTTGGAACCAGAAAAGTCACACTATGTCCAATGTTTTTAATTGTAAATTTAATAAAAAACTTTTAAAAAATAGAAGGAATAATTAATTTAATTTTTTAATCTCAATTTTGCTATAGGTGGTCAGTTTGAGTGAAAATTCTTCTTTTTTCATCCAACAGATCATTTTTTTTGTCAAATTTATCTATTTGAAACAATTGCTTTTCCATAGAATGAGGTGCTAGGAATTGTCCTGACTGATTGCCTCCTTCCCAAGGTACTATCAGCTTGCCCTCAGATAGTCAAAACTAGGAAATGGTCATACATAATATTTTTTAAGGATTATTCGTAACAACACTTCTTAATTGCTGTTCCAGCCTCTATTAAACAGAAGTAGTAGAAAAGATAAAGCATAAATAAAGCAACTATACAGTACATCTACAGAAAAAAGATGTGAGCCAAAATAAATACTAAAACAAATAAAGTCTTGTCTCATACACCAGCTTTAACAGTGGTTCAAAAGAAGAAAGTGTAGAAAATTGACATGGCAATACCAAAAGATAGTAAAATAGAAGACAAAGAATTGGAGAAGATAAAAAAAAGTATCAAGATCTCAAAAACATGAAATAATGAAAAACTGTTATTACAAATTTTTATTTCAGTTTCTTTTTTTATTCTTTTCTACCTCCTTTATCCAAACTATATTCTTGTTGTATTTGAAGGCCAACACCAGCTAAAGAACTGGCAGCTGTGATTTCACACTGTTGTCTTCACTCTGGATAGGAGGACCATCAAAATAAAGACACCGAATCATGCCCTTCATCCAAGTAGTGACATTGACAGACTCTACTTACAAGGTGGATGTGGAATAGCCGCAAGAACTACTGGGACCACAAAATAGATAAAAGTCATAGAAAATGAAGAAGCTAAATTGCTCTGGGATTTTAGAATTCCAACAGACAATAAACATCCACATAACACCCAGAGTTAACAAGACAAAGGGCTGGATAATGGACATTGCAGTATCTGGAAACGGCAGGATAGAAGAGAAAGAACTGGGAAAAAAATCACAAAAGATAAAAATCTTCAAATAGAAGTAGAACCACTGTGGCAAGTTTGCTTTCTGAGAAAGCAAAAAGAGTACCAATAGTAAAAGGCTCCTTGGGTATAATCCCAAAACCTTTGGAGCATCATTGGCATCAGGGGTGGGTTCTACTTACCTTTACTACCGGTTTGCAGTGGGGCCGCACGCTCTTCTGCACATGCGCAGAAGCGTTTTGATGATGTCGGGGTCAGTGGGTGGAGCCTCCTGCTGGTTTTACTACTGGTTCTATAGAACCTGTGCGAACCGGGGGCAACCCACCACTGATTAGCATTGATAAAATTATCATCAGTCAATTATAAAAGGCAGCTTTACTTGGAACAGCTGACATCCTACAACAATACCTTTACTACCATCAAACATCCACATCTGCCTATCCCTGATCTTTGAGGCTCGATAGATGGATAAAAGTGTGAAATCTAGTCTAAATATCTGGTTAACTGTGTGACAAACCATAATAATAATAATGTTGAATATTGCATTGCCATGCAATCTATTTTTAGTTATTATTATATGTCTATCCATTCTAGACTTTCCATCAAAACCACTCACCATTTAAATTTTGCCCAATTCTCCATTCACCATCAACAGAGGGATCTGCTATTAGCCCTGTGAGAATTCTGGAATCGAAGACTGTATCATCATCTTCCAAACCATTTATAAAGAAACTAATTCTGTTGTGATGAACCTATAAATTGACATGTGGAACAGAAAATCTTGTAAAAAACAGTAATCCTACAAGTCTCTGTCAAATTAGCTTGGAATATACTGTACCAAGAGTTTCAATACAATCAAGTAAAGAACAGCAATTTGTATTTATTAACCATTTCCTATTAGAAAAAAAATAAATTCATGTATGAAAACAGAAAGATGTTCAATAGTTAAGTTAAGGAAGCCTCAAAGGTTCAAAATGGAGTAAAATTTTAAAAATATTTTAGTTCCACAAATTTCACATATAATATTAATAACATTTGGCACCAGGGTAATGTGGTCATCTCTGTACATATGGTATATGTTATCTATATAACATAGGAGCCTTGGTGGCACAGCGAACTAAAAAACTGCTATTAAAGTAGCACTTAGCTGCCAGATGCCTGCAATTACTGCGAGTTCAATTATCACCAGGCTCAAGGTTGACTCAGCCTTCCATCCTTTCGAGGTAGGTAAAATGAGGACCCAGTTTGTAGGGGCAATAAGCTGACTTTATATAAAATAGAACACCACTTGGGGGGGCCAAAAAGCCCTACTAAGCAGGTATATACAAAAGTATGAAGGCTATTGCTTAATGCATTGTAAGCTGCCCTAAGTCTCCAGAGAAGGACGGCATATAAATTGAACTAATAAATAAATAAAATAAATAAATAAATAAACATTAAAAATCTATGAAATAATATTTATTACATTTATATAGCCATGCATCTCATTGAAAAGTGACTCTAGGTAGCACACAATTAAAAATATTCATAAAATCAAAATACTAACAAACATCAACAATCTTATTTGTAACAAGTTGGCTGAGAAAATTTATGTAAAAGGTAATGCAGCCATTTCATTAAATAGTCATATCCTTGTGATCCCCAAGCATGCTGGCACATGGATTCCAGATTTGTTGAGGCCACTTGGAGGTTTATCTATGCTTTCAGGGTCACCTAACTAGTGCAAATGGATGTGGAGAGATTCCACTCAGAAGGAGCCACAAGAAAATATATTGAAGGTTACCCTGCAATATTCCTCTACCTCCTGTGAGTATAGGAGGACTGTTGTTGTTAAGCATTCCAGTCATGCTTTATGACTTCATTGTTTAGTGACAGAAACTCTAGTTCCAATTGCTATTGTAAATCAAGCACTAGCTGTATATCAAATGGTACATTTTCACAATGGAAGCACTCTCCCTTCATAGATGTAATAAGAAGTAACACTCTCTTTTCTGGTATCCATGAGTCAAACATAATAATAATTAGCATGATTAGTAGCAGGATATTAATTTCCCTTCAGCTACTGTTTGTTTTTGTTTTGTTTTTTTTGGTATGTTGCAATTTAGGCAAAATCACATTTTATGGGTGAACTTGGATTGAGATCCTTATGGAAACGTGTATTGTATTGTGCTTTGTACAGAAAGCATTAAGATGCAACATTAGACTATTTCTAGCTCTTACTCAAGAATCTGAAAATACTGCCAAATTTGTTTTTTAAAAAAACCAAAACACGAGATTATTGTGAATTGGAAAGGAATTGTGAATAATCTTTCAATGGTATACACACAGGAAACATTTAATTTGAAATAACTGAATTTTAGCCATATTTTACCCAAGACAGTACATTTTACTTTCTAGCACTTTGGGGGAAAGTCATGGAGTAAAAGGCACATTAACTCTTAATAAATTGTTTGATCCAGTTTAAAATATAGCAATATCCTTTAAAGTCATTTCAGAATTTAGAAAACACAGTCTCATACGCAACTTTAAAGGAGTTGAAAACTGCAATATCTATGCCTTCTCTTATATTCTGTAGCCATCTATTTCTATATTTATTTGGTGCTTCTGATTTTCTCTAGACCGGTTTTTTTTTACTGCAGAACAAGCAATGAACAAGCAATGAACACATTTTTTCCCCATGAAGATAGTACCTTTTGAACTAATGTCGACACACAGCAGTCGAATTCTACATATCTGGGGTGTTCATCAGATGTGTGTTCTAGCTCAGTTGTGTTGCATATTTGGCTATGCAATGTAAAGGATCTAAACGGGAATAAAATATTTCCCAACTAATAATATAAAGATTAGAAGTCTGTCAACTAAATTTTGCACAATAGCATTAGATATTGCTAGTTAATGCTTTCGGAAATTCATAGCCAGTTGAGAATTCACAACTTTTGGGAATTGACTCTCCAACTACACAAATCTTTTTACCAAACCTCCTGACATTCCCATGTTCTCCTTGCAGTATTAGATACATGTTTTTCTTCTCAGCAATGTTGTTCATTTTCCATTTTAGAATTTTAATCCTCAATTTGGGGTACTTTGCTTTTCCAGTTACCGTGTTGTATGAATCTTTTTTTCCTCACAAGAAAATCCAATTTATGTCCAAATTCACTTCCAAGAAAGCCCTATATAATAGTTTCAATCTAATATAACATTATTTACCTAATTTGGGATTGAGGTGTGTTTCATGCAGGAAGAGTAATGAGATTATTCACAAATACGATATTGCCATGGTATGTGATATGAAAGGATAAGTGCTGTCTTAATTATGTAAGTAAAGAATAATACTGTTTTAGTGTATTATATTAACAGTTCCTAGATCTCTCTAACCCTAACTGGAACTCCATTGTTAACAAACAATAGGTTGATAACTAGGCCCCAATTTTAATGTAAATCAGGAAGAGAAAGGGGAAATTAATGAAAAGGACTACTGCATGCCTCAAGGGGAGAAATAATAGAATATCCCACACAACTTTCTACATTATAGGAACCAATGAAGATTAAAAAAAATCATAGTGAAAAAATTAGTTGACTGTCATAAAATTACTGCTGAAAAAAACCTAGATGATTTAGTGATAAAAGCAATTCCAGTGACACCATCGCTCTTATAAAGTTGCCCATGGTGCCTACAAAAATCTTCCTTTAAATTGAGTTGACTCCAGGAGATACATTGATTGGCAACATACATAAGTGATTTACTACTGCCATCTTCTGGGATGTGTTCTGACTTCCCATGTAGGCTACAAGCTATATTCCCTGGTGGCTTCCCATCCAAGTACAGATTAGATCTGATCCTACTTTACTTTTGTTAGATAAGCCAAATTCAGCTAAGTGCTACCAACAAACTAGATCTAAATTCAAGACTACTGTTTCCTTTCTTCCTGTTTTCTATTTCATATTATACTGTAAGCTCTTCTAGGCAGAGTTTTATTCTTTTGCATCTAGTAATGTATTGTTCATTAAAATATTAGTGTTATATGTGTGTATAATTTTCTGCCTGTCTCTGTATCTTTCTCTCTCTCTCTGTCTCTCTCTGTTTATGTATGTATGTATGTATGTATGTATGTATGTATGTATGTATATATACTGTATATAGTTGAGAGAGGGGGAGGGAACTTATATATATATTCATACACACACACATCTATCTATCTATCTATCTATCTATCTATCTATCTATCTATCTATCTATCTATCTATCTATCTATCTATCTATCTATCTATCTACACAATATATATATATAATACATATATTCATAAACATATATATTTCGGTACACAGTATTCTTCAAGTTAGCAAACAATATTCACATACTGCTTTCCACAGCTGATTACTCAGTATTTATTCCAGATATAGAATGAATGAGTTTCTTCATTCACATTCTGAAGCTTACCAATAGGCTACTGGACAAGCTGGAAGTGTATTCTGACATGCACCATGATTAAAGTTGAACTGGCCAATAATTTGGATGCAACGATATATACCTACATGCTAATGGTCACTTATTTTGTTTTAATAACTCTTGAAAAACAATAATATGTAATAAACCTTTTGTCCTTTACAGATGCATAGCTTACTTTAAGGAGCAAGGTGGAGGTTTTAAAGAGATCTTGCTGCTATGGCTGTTGTTTCTACTGTTGCTCCTGCCAGTTTGTAGAAATCTATTTCCATTTTGCATAAACAAGTACTTGTGAGTTTAAAGGGATGACTTGTCTTTTCAAATAGATGCTGAGAAAAGCTAGAGTACTTTAATCTGCCTTGATATCCACTCTAATCAAATCAAATGAGACTGGAATAATTGCATCCTAGAAGCACTGAATGTGTGAGAAGAAACAAAAAGGTTATGAAAAGGCAGAATAATTCAGTGCAAAAGCAAAAGTGAAGCTTTGCAAAATTCATTTAGAAAATCAGGACATAAATGTTCAATAGTACCATTCTATTGTCAATATAGCTGCATACATTTCTGACCAATATAAAAAGCTACAGTTATCTATAAATTAAACCAGAAATGTTATCATTAATGATTCAGGCAGCTTAGACTGTACTAAAATTTTAAGGAAGGGACTGTGAAATGAATAGAAATAGATTTTTATTATGAAAATTTGCTTCCCTGAATAAATAGACTATATAGGCCCTTAACTTTATTATTATTTCCAGAAGTAGTCAACATTGTGTGGATTTGAGAAAAAACATGAATTTATTACCTTTCCCATGAAAAAGCTGAAGCGTATTATCGTAATGACTAGCAGTATAGTTTGGTTCAAAAGTTTTCACATATGAAAAAGAGAGAACATTATCCATTATTCTTCATTAGTTTTATCCATTAACACAGTTTCTTAAAATGTGGTCCCTCCCGAGGGACCCCAAGATCCTTCAGGAGTCCACAAGATCAACATTATATGTCCAATATTTACTTCACACACACGCACCAAAGCAAAACAAAAGAAAATGTCTTTGTGGATCAAAGTGGATATTGCTTGCCATGTTTTTCCTTTTTCCAGCTCAACATTTTTTTATAGCCTGTTACTGTCTTTTGCTGTTTGACTGTTATCATTATAAAAGATACAGGCTTTTTCTACTTTGTTATTTGTAGCATTATCTCATGTTTTACAACATCTTTGCACACAACACGCAGGCAACATGAAATACAACTAGTGGAAAGTTCTCAGTGGTATTAATGCATAAAAAAGAATGTGGTTCCATCTT